ACTTATTATGTAAGGAATTTTCCAATATTTGTCGAAAATGCTGAGACGATGGCTATTAAGGGTTTCTCGTCATCAACAAAGATTCGCCATTAAAAAATGGCTGCTACCGCAAAGGTTTTCATACCTATATAATGTTTCGAAATAGAGAAAATAATCATTAAATCGATGATAATGGAAGAAATAACATCTACTTTGGCACGTGAAATAGAAGAAGAAGAAGAAGAAAAATAACTTTATTCTGGGACTGGTGTCCTCTAAAAATAATTTACATGAAATAAATAAAGGAAGTTCCTTCTATGAAGTTAAAAGTAAAAAAAAAAAAAGATAGAAATCTTGGCACAATGTATACCAATAAGGCAGGACAGAAGAAAAAATTACGAGAATATTAAACAAAAATAACAAGTGTTAACGTGAGGTCTCTGCTTGGAGGGAGAGGAGGCGATTGTACAGGTGGGATTTAAAGGAGGAAATGGAGGCAGCGTGACGAATAGAAAGGGGAAGGGAGTTCCAGAGTTTAGGGGCTCGGATCAGAAAGGATCTTTCGAAGGAATGGGTTGTATGTTGCGGACGGATAAGGTCGATTGGGGATGAGCGGGTCTTACGAGTGAGATGTGAGGAGTTGAATTGGAGGGATTGGATGATGTAAGGAGGACGACGAGTGTGGATGGACTGGAAAAGAAAGCAACCTAGGAAATACTGTGCACGGAAGGAGGGGAATAGCCAGGAAAGTTGGGAATACAACCCCGACACCCGGGATCCCCGTGGGGTGCCGTACACAAATCTTACGCAACAATTCATAATACGCTTCAATCGCGCGTTCTCCCCCTCCGAGAGACCACCGTATGCCAAACAGCTATAATCGAAGAAGGGAAGTATAAGGGAAGATACAAGGAGTTTGCGGGTGGAGAAAGGTAAGAGAAGCCAGGACCGACGAAACAGGCTGAGGGAGGCAATGGAATGGCGGGAAATTTGGGAAATGTGAGAATGCCAGGAAAGGTTTTGGTCAAAGACTACTCCTAGGTTTTTAACCGAAGAGCAGAAGGGGATGGGATGGTTATTTAGCATGAGAGGTGGGATGCTGGGGAGGGAATTGAGGAGTTGCCTGGACCCGATAATTATGGCGGTGGATTTGGACGGATTGAGGACTAGGGAATTTTTATGGGCCCATTCGTTGATGGAGTTTAGGTCTTTTTGGATCTTGAGAGTGGCCGAGTGAAGATCGGAAGGGTGGAAGGATATGTATATTTGGGAGTCATCGGCATATAGGTGATAGTTACAGGACTGGATGGAGTCGGGCAGATCATTGATATAAATGGAAAAAAGGATAGGAGAGATGCTAGAGCCTTGGGGCACCCCAGATTTTAGAGGGAGGAAGGAGGAGGTAAGGCCATTGGGAAGGGAGACAGCTTGGTGGCGATTGGTAAGGTAGGAGTGGAACCAACGGATGGTGCTGGCGGAGAAGGAAAAAGATTCGAGTTTAGAGAGGAGAGAAGAGTTAGGGACAGAATCGAAGGCTTTAGAAAAATCAAGAAGGGCAAGTATAGTAACTTTCCGTTGGTTCATTGCTAAGTGGAGGTCACTGGTAATTTTTATTAGTGCTGATTGGGTGGAATAACCTTGGGGGAAGCTAGATTGGAAAGGGTTGAGAAGATGGGACTGTTCAAGGTGCCTGGAGACTTGTGCTTGGACTAATCTTTCTAGGGGCTTGGACAGGTTTGAGAGGATGGAAATGGGACGGTAGTCTGTAAGGGAGGATGGGTTGGGGGTTTTATTGACAGGATGGACAACAGCTTTTTGCCAGGCTGTCGGAAAAACAGAGTTGCTAAAGAAAATAGCAGAAACTAGAGAGAATATTCGCCAAAATTATAACGCTCTTAAAAAATTGAAGGAGGAAAATTATGAATATCTCAAAGTTAAATATAAACCTATAGTTAATGCCATAAAAGAAGCCCGTACTGACCATCCCCCTCAACTAAAACGTGAAACAGAAGAAGAAGAAGATACACTTAACGTGTCAAAACGATTAGATCTACAAACCTCACATAATTCAACCCAAAGCGTATTAAATGTGTTTACATCTCAACTAAAACATGATTTAACTTTTTCGGGTGAAGGTGATCAAATGTTTGATTCATCAAAAGAAATTGAAAATATTGTAGTTGATGACAAACAACCACACTATTCTTTTGTAAAAGTTTCTCAGTCTGACGTGTTCGAATTCACTCCGTCTAAATCTCTGCTTCAGCAAGTGAGCGAAGAAGTGAAACCCCCGATGGAATAAAAACGACTTTCGACTTTCTGGAAAAAATCGGAGAGACTCCATCAAAATACGTTATGAAATTTTTAAATAACGACCTATCAGGGTTGGACGAGACTTATGGTGTACGTTACGATGGAAACCAATACAATAACCAATTACAATAGGTGACACTATAGTCACTATGTGAGATAATGAATTGGACATTGATGAAGATCGTTATATTGCCACACCAGGCCTCATGGAATTGTTATTCATGAAAAAGTCGAATTTGACGCTTGTGGATTCTGACGATAGACAACAATATAAAATATACTAACACATACAAACGCTCACAGAAAACGTTATTGTAGCAGTGGCGAGATAAATGCTATAAGAACGCATCCAAAGTGGGGGGTGATATCCTCTCTTTTCAAATACGAGCCTCGTAAGCCAAAACCGAAAAAAAAACCAAACGTGGTTTCGGGGCGGTAGATTTTAACCACTTTATACAAAGATTAAAAATTTTTCTCTTAAATTTTGTACCTATAGAAGGTTTTTTTTGTTATAAATTAAACGGAGTTTTCGTATGCAGTGTTATTTTCTGGAAAAGCTTACAATTTTTTTAATAGAAAATAATTTATGTTTTTGTGGCTTTGATGTAATATTACATATCTCCTCCTCGTCGTATCTCCACTTTGCCGTAGTGAGGAGGCTTTACAAACAAAGAGAGATACATAGTTTAATGTCTTCGTTTTATTTTATAAATAATAACAAAAATAATTCACAACCTGGAGAATGTACACATATTTATTTACTTTCAGAATGTATTTCTACATATTTTGACCAATTTTGGACCCGATTGGTTTACGAGATCACGTTGAAATAGTCGAATACCTCCATTCTCTAACTCGCAAATCGCCTCTCAACTAGTAGGTCAAACTCGAAAAACCGATAAAAGTACATAATTTTACGACGGTTTTTCTGACTTTTGATATTTTGTTAGTTTCAGAAAGTATTTCTACATATTTTGACCAATTTTGGACCCGATTGGTATACGAGATCACGTTGAAATAGTCGAATACCTCCATTCCCTAACTCGCAAATCGCCTCTCAACTGGTAGGTCAAACTCGAAAAACCGATAAAAGTACATAATTTTACGACGTTTTTTCTGACTTTTGATATTTTGTTAGTTTCAGAAAGTATTTCTACATATTTTGACCAATTTTGAACCCGATTGGTATACGAGATCACGTTGAAATAGTCGAATACCTCCATTCCCTAACTCGCAAATCGCTTCTCAACTGGTAGGTCAAACTCGAAAAACTGATAAAAGTACATAATTTTTCGCCGGTTTTTGTGACTTGAGATATTTTGTTACTTTCAGAAAGTATTTCCACGTATTTTGACCCATTAAAAGCCTCACAATAGTGATTTTTTGTTATCTGCAAATTTCTATATTTCTTTCATTTTTTGTGCCTTCAGTTTATTATGGACTATTTATTTATGCTATGAAAGACAACAATATCATTGAAGTAACAAAAAACATCAACAATAAAGGATAATTTTTAAAAAGGATATATCGCCTTACAATAGTTTTTTTTTGATACCTGCAAATTTCTACATTTCTTTAATTTTTTGTGCGTTCATTTTGTTATAAACTTTTTATCTATGCTATAAAGGACAACAATATTTTTCAATATACAAAAAATAACAATAATAATTAAAAACCATTAAGAGAAGTATGTCGCCTCCCCATAGTGATTTTTTGGCATCTGCAAATTTCTATCTTTCTTTCATTTTTTGTGCCTTCATTTTATTATAACCTGTTTACTTATACTATGAATGACAACAATATTTTTGCAAGAACAAAAAATATCAATAATATTGATCATCTTTGAAACAAGTTATCACCTCAGAACAGTGATTTTTTGAAATGCAGATATTTTTTGATATCTGCAAATATCTACATTTCTTTCATTTTTTGTGCGTTCATTTCGTTACAAACAGTTTTTTATGTTTAGTATGACAACAATATTTTTGCATATACAAAAAATAACAATAATAATTTAAAATATTTGAGAGAAGTATGTTGCCTCCCCGTATATTTTTCAATATCTGCAAATTTCCATATTTCTTTTTATATTCCATATTTATTTTTGTACTTTCTTTTTGTTATGAACTATTTATTTATTGTTGAAAGACAACAATAACATTGAAAGAACAAAAAATATCAATAATAATTGATAATTATTGAAAGTAGTATATCGCCTCCCAGGGCTCATTTTTTGATATCTACAAATTTCTACAACTCTTTCATTTTTTGTGCGTTCATTTTGTTATAAGCTGTTTATCTATGCTACACACTGTTTATTTATGCCATGAATGACTACCATAACATTGAAACAACAATCACAACGGAAAATAACAAAAAGGAATAAATCACCCATAGATGATTGTCAAAATCTTCCTATTTTCATATTTATTTTGTTAAATTTTTTCTATCTTCTGCTGTGGTCTGTGGGGTAATGAACCTATAATTTGACAGTGAACTATCATCTTGGTTTGCCTATCCTTGCTGATTTTATCTCTGACGTGTTTCAGCATGATCATCTTCAATATTGTGTTTAGGTGAATTCTCTGCAAAATTCTACATTTTTTATTTTGTTGGGTGCTCCTTTTATTATGATTTTATTATAGCATTAAGGAGTAAATCACCCAACAGGGGTGTCTAAGTAAAATGTGTAATAAAAATATCATCAATTGTATAAATAACATTCTTTATTTTAGTTACATTTTTAATTACATATTTAAAAATTAAACAAAATTTATTCTGTGTACAGTCTTACCAAGTCCTTGGTTGTAGCAGGTATATTTGTTATAGGGCATTTCTTTTCTTCATCCAAATACTGAACTATACAGGGGTAACAAAACACAAAACCTGATGGTTGCAGCACAACTTCAGTCTTTCTTGGCCTCGAACAAATAGGGCACATGTTATTATAAGCAATATTGCAAGAAGGTGGCGGAGGTACAGGTAGTGCATTAATATTAATGTTTATCTGACTTGTATTCCACCAGTTGAGAAATTGTATAATGAATGCGCTAAGTTCTAGGATCTGTGAAGACAATTTGAAAATAACTGGAATTAACGTTGTAATGTTCCTTGGGTTGGATTTTAACTCTCTTAATATGTCACTCCATGCTGTACTTTTATGAACTTCATGTGTGATTTCAATTTCTGTGAGTTCATCGCATATAGTGTGGGTTTTTGACTTGCCAATCATGTATTTAACAGAATAGAACACATTTATACCATTTACCAGAACAAACAGTGTCCTAATAACTGATTGTGTACTATGTTTTAACAAATCATTTTCAGATTCTGTTGATTCTTCTTGTTTTAATCTGTCCATATATGATCTTAACCTGCTTAGTATGTAAGGTACGACTGTCAGACTCAGCAGTGATTTAAGTTTCAGTTTCATTGACAAAGTGTTCTTCCCATTTTTGACAGGTATTCTCTTCAAGCTGTAAAATGCCTCTGAGAATGACGCATTATATTTGTTTAAGTAATGAAACTGTAATAATAAATTTAGAGCTAAAAATGCTTCGTCGTGCCACTTCAAAAGCCACCTGTATCTGTTAAAATTTTTTGCCCCTAAAAAATCACATATTATTTTAAAAGACGGTTGCAGAGTACTCATCAACGAGTCTTGGGCCCATAGTTCAAATATCGTAGGTTTTGTATGCTCCGTGGAAGATATATGGACAGCATTTTCAGCCATCTTTGAGAGAAATCAGTCACAAAATTCTGAAAAACAGATCAATATATAAATGTTAAATTTAACTTTACAATAAATTCATACTGAAACTTATAACTAGATAATATATAAGCAGAAATTAAAAGATTTATACTATAAATTTTTCTAACCATCTAAATGCACGGTTACCAAATTCACCTTGTCTGATGCACCTTGGTACTGTTTTATCTTTCACGTATGGAATTTATTTTATGAACACTATATTAAATTAATGTAAATTGTAATTTTGAAATCTTTGTGGGATTTTTGGGGTGATGAACTTGTAGTTCCTTCATTTCTAATAATTTATTCTGCCAATGTTTGCTATTTTGTACCGCCCGTCGTCTTTCAGCTTTTCTTACCATCTTCACCGATGGGTCTGTGTGATTACTGTGACATACTAGATCATTAAAGATGGCAAAAAACCAAAACATGTCTGACAGACCAGACCTGTGAATATAGGTAAAATATATTGATCGGAAACTACTAAAACCACATATAAATTGTGGTTGACTACATGGGATCTTTGAAGTGATGAACCTGTAGTTTTTTTCTATTTCAATGTTTCTTCTGCCTACAGTCACAGTATAAATCTGTCAGACGCCTTTCAATTTTTTTACCATCTGTTACGTTTTGCAACAGATACTTAATCATTGATGATGGCGAAAAGCCGAAACATGTCTGACAGACTTGACGTGCACAACAACAGATTAGATAATAGATGAACCAAATTGATCAGAAACTTCTAAACTACATATAAATTGTGAGATTTCGACCTGGTACGCTGAGTAATGAGCTTGTAATTTAATCGTGGTCTACCTACCCTCACTGGGTTGGTCTGTCAGATGCATTTCAGCGAAATAATCCACCAAAAGCACGAAAAACGAAAATACCTATTGTAGGGTAACAGTGTAATCAGGATGAAAAACCACTGAATATTGTATTATCTTTATTTACACAATCACAAACACAATTTGTACAATACCACTCTCCTAAACCTATGTACTGTCCTTACACCTTTGTCTTCCCCTTCCGCTTTTATCCCTCCAGTCCTTCCTACCTGAGGAGAGGCATCTTCTCCGGACTATCCTCGTATCTTACTTTATACACGAGTCCCACCCACACAAATTTATTAAATAGACTTGACTTAACAAAATCACACACACGACACACTAATGATGGCGAAATGCCGAAACAAGTGTGACAGGCAGATCACTATGATCAGAAACATTTATGTGTGGTCTATGGAGTTTTACCTGTATCTTTACCACCCCACAAGCCAGAAAAGGAAATCTCACGATTTATGTGTTTAACTTATGATAGTTTTCAGAAGACTGTATACACAAGAGACTTATTTTAAAATAGTTTTATTACTTTGAAGGATCTTCTTAAAACCAAGGATGTCATTCTACGAACCTAGTTTGTTACAGACGGACGTTGGACGGATGAATTTGTCAAAAATAGCATAGAAATTGTTGTTAAACTTATATTTGCAAAATCACTTTTCATAATTACAAACCCCTCACAAACGTGATTATGTAATATTGTAACCTACCAATTTTTTATCTTTTGTTACCTCATTGAAAAGCCTGTGAAAGGTTTTTTTTTAAAGAGGAAATCAAACGGTTTAAAACAATTGAAGGCCGATTGATGTCTAGAGCTTTTATTACAAAAGTGAAAGGTTTCTACAGAAGTTACAGCACCATGTCTGAAAAGTCCGCAGTTATCTTCTTAGCTCCAGGTTCCGAAGAGATGGAACTCGTCATTTCAGCGGATGTACTGAGAAGAGCCGGGGTAAAATAAAACAATTTCATCTTCAGGTAACCGGTTGTCGTAATGAGTCTGTGTATCCAGGTGAAAGTGACTATCGCAGGATTGACGGGTCTGGAGCCGACAAAGTGCAGCAGAGATTTGATGATCGTGCCGGACAAAGCTGCATCCGATGCGATCAGGGATGGCCCGTACGATGCTGTCATTTTGCCCGGTGGGCTAGGAGGATCAAAATGCTTTGTTGCTGTCAGTTAAAAGAATTTTTTTGTGTAAAAATCAAAAATGAATATCAAAGGTTGAATATCAATGAAGCCTTTAGTTCTAAATGTTTATAATTTGTTTATTATTATTTTTTTATAATTGTTTATTAAACAGTTTGAACTAAAGGCTCCATTTGTATTCAACCTTTGATGATGGAATTCCACCAAAAAAATTCCAACGAACCACCCAACACCATTATATCTATTAAAAATAAATATTTCAGTCCGCTGAAATCGGCCAACTATTGAAGGACCAGGAATCAAGTGGCAGGCTCGTCGCCGCTATTTGCGCAGGTACGGTTTTAGTTACTGTTTATACTTTAAAAATGATATCATTCATCATTGCAGCCCCGACCGCATTGAAAGCTCATGGAATCGCATTGGGCAAGTCTTTAACATCCTACCCTAGTTTTAAGGAGGAGCTGTCCGAGTGCTACAATTACCTCGAGGATAGAGTCGTCGTTGATGGTATTTATTCTCTGGTCACTTCATATAAATCATAAATTTAAAAAAAAAATTTCTTCTCTTTTAGGCAACTTGATAACAAGCAGGGGGCCAACAACTGCCTTTGATTTTGCTATGGCAATTTCAAATTATCTTGTAGGAAAAGAAACAACCTCAAAAGTGGCCAAAGGACTACTTCTGGAGTAAATCTTTTAATTACAAATATATCGTGAATAATAAAGAACTATGTTCCTCACAAAATTACTTGTTTCTATTCGATTCTGATTACAGAATGTAAAGGGATATAAATTTAGATGTATGGAAAGTAATAATAAATGATTCCCTTGTAACTTTTTTTTATTTTTAATTACTGTACAGAGGTCATATATTAATTTCTGTGATGGTCCTTTGATGAACTTTTTCACATGCTTCTGTCCTGGGCTGCATCCCCATATATTTCTATTTACCGCTATTTACTTTTCAATAACAAATTACTGGGGTGTCGGTAAACATCACTGTAAGGTAAAGGTGGTTCGAATCCAGCGGCCCTGCATTCGAACCCGATATACTTACAATTTTTTTTTTTTTTTCAAAAACACTGGCACCCTGAGGGTTTATATGACCTCTGCTTCTTGAACCCTTGTGAACAAAAAAAAATCTTAACTAGGACAAATGTATTAATGAAAGAATAACGAAGCTTTGTTTCTGTTGGTTAAGAATAAAATGGCCGAATATAACAGTCTTGGAGTTCCTCAATCAAGCTGAACCAATTATTTGGAACGTTTCTCTTGGGAATCAAAAAATAGAAAGAATATTTTGATAATGGAAACGGATCAGTAAGATGTTGCAACAGTACCCTATGACTGAGTTTGTAGCAACTACACAAAACTCCCAGTATTATGACCCTGCAACATATTGGCAAAATTATTCGCAGTGAGGTTATGGCCAAGTTCTGGAAATTACAGCTATGACTCAAATCAGTATGCTCAACACTATGGCAATCAGTACAATCAATATGCTCAGCAATACAGACAGCAGTACTCACAATATTCTCAGCAGTATTCACAGTACTACCAACAGCAGCCTGCAACAGCCACCACGACTGACAGGGCATCAGTTCCTCAAGCAGCGATCGACGACACTTTAGAAGTTGTAGATCACAGCCCACCAATAGACGTTGAAAAAGAAAACAGGGAATACTCAGAAGCAGTCCTTTCCTTTTGGGATGAAATCGCCTCTGTTGGATACACCGATCCAGAATTTTATGAGATGGAAGTTGCAAAGATGAAAGTTGTAAGACTTAGGTCGCCCATCCCACCTGACTGGGTGTATCCCCAAGTATAATTTAAAACGACAAACTCTTTTTGTACAACACTTGAAATTGGAAAGCAAAATGTGTAAAAAAAATTATAACAATGTAAAAGTTACGCTGTGAAAGGTTGTATATATTATATATGTAGGATTTCACTTCATTAATGTGATTGCTTGAATCTCAGCTTAGAAGATAGTGGTGTATTTTCCCATGGGTTCTGAGTATTTGCTTCCAGGACTGAATACTCCTACCCCTGTACAGTCTTGTGTTCTGGATTCATCTGTGTACCAAAAGATGGTGCTCTTCTTAAAGGAGGTGTTTTCCTCTCGTTCCCAATTCTTTTTAGTACTTAGGTTTATTTGGAAGTTTTGATTAAATTCAAACATCCTGTTCATGTCATCTCTTGGAGATTGCAATAGTAGGAAGAACACCTTTATCCTAGCAGTGCTATCCACTAACCTATGACTTATTACTTATATGAATCGTCTTAACCATTGGAGACATGACTTTTTTTATGTCCAATACGAAAATTCAAGTCGAACGTCCTAACCACTCGGCCACCGCGGTATCCTAAATTTAAATATATGAATAAGTAATTATTTTCTCTTACAATTTGAGAAACTAAACATGAAAATTTTTATAATAAACATAGATTTTCTGAAAAAAATATTTGATATTTTATTTTAAGAATGGAAATTTATAATTTTACCATAAACTCTTCGTTATAATTCTAGTTCGTTTTTTCATGTTAAAAAAATACGATACTTACGTGGTAAGTTGTATTCAGCCGGTTCCCGGTTGAGTGGGGTTAAGTTGGCAGCACTGGTTGTTGTAATTAAGCGACTTGCGTCGCGCCTATTTTATCTAGTACGCGCTCGTCTCTCGGAACTGGTATTCTGTAGTCGGTTCTTTGCTCTCGTGTTGATTGAATATCAAACGACCCGAGTCTGTCTCTTCGCCCGCCAGCCATGGTTAACACGGACGATGCTGTGTTCGTCGTGTTTTGCGGTCCAATCACCGCTGAGGAAATGGAAGTCAGGAGGAAGCTCGGCCTATTTAAAAACCCCGACAGAGACATCGATGATAATCTGGATTTTGATTGGTAACGGGTTTTTTTCTTCAGTTCTGTTTTTGAAAAAAAGCCATTTTTACAATCCGACACGTATAAAACATTTTTTTTAACGACGTATTCTTGCTTCCACCGAACTATTTTTTTCCCAGCACCAGTCAGTTCAAAAATTGTTAATAAAATCCAACTTTATCGCCTTTAAAGCAAAATAATATAGAGTAATGTAGTAGTTCCTGTGTTAAGATACCTTTTATCGAGGGTTCCGCAATAGCAGTGATATCAACCCTCGGGCTGTCTGTTTTTGAAAAAAAAAACATTTTTGTAGATATGTCGGGTTCGAATGCGGGGCTGCTGGATTCGAACCCGGCACCTTTACCTTATAAGTATGTATATTATATTACATATGTATTACATTTCATTACGTATGTAAATGTAAGTAATGAGTGACGGACCGTTAAACCACTTTTTGTAACCTTCCGTGCAGGTTACTTTGTATACAACTGATTATTTAAAATTTAAATAAATTTATATTATAAAATTTATTTAAACCCATAAAAGAAGTTTTCATGGTGCTTATTTTTATTCAGCTTATTCAGGAAGTACACATAAGTATTGCGATTGGACGGGGGTCTTGGGGATGATGAACCTGTAGACTTCGTTTCCGATCATTCTTTCTGTTTGTGGTAGCTGTTTTTTATCTGTCAGGCAACTTTTAGTTTTTCTTATTGTATGCACTCATGGGTCTGTGATTTCTGCACCTAGTTCATGAAGATGGCAAACGGCTGAATCATGTCTGAAAGATATGACCTGCAAGACTAGGTAGTTCAACATAATTGGATACGACAACTTCATATAAATTGTGATGAACCTTAAGTTTCTTTGTTTCCAATCATTCTTTCTGTCTGTGGTAGCTGTTTTTGATCTGTCAGGCAATTCGTCTGTGATTTCTGCACCTAGTTCATGATTTCTGTGACAGATCTAGACCATTGGAGATGGCCAACAGCTGAATCCTTTGGACACGATCTGCAAGTCTAGGTTGGCTAAAATAATTTGAAGTGCCTAGACTTAATACAAATTGTGATGTAGTTTCTTTGTTTCCAATCGTTCTTTCTACCTATGGTTGATGTTTGGATATGTCAGGTAACTTTCAGCTTTTATTACCTATTCCCTGATGGATTTGTGTGATTTCTGAGACAAATACTAGACCAATGAAGGTGACAAACAATTGAAACATGACCTGCAAGACAAGGTAGACTAAAATGATCAGAAATTGATTAAACTGCATAAAAATTGTGAGATTTCCATCTGCAGTATGTGCACCTATAATTTGACCTGTCAGATGCTTTTCGGCTTAATCCACCAGAGGCATTTACAAACAAAGAATACGCCAACATCTATAAAAGAAATGACTACAGAATTATACGCTGAAGATGGCAAAAGCCAAAAAGAGACTGACTGAACAACTTACCGATGATTGGCAGACTAAAATGATCAATAACAGTCAAATTACATGTCAGACCACAGAAGGATACACAAATTTTTAATAAGTTTTATTTTAAACAAATTAACAAAAATGTCATATTAATTATGTTAATGAAGTCAAATTGAGATAAGCTCATATTCCAGTATCTTTAGGCCTAACAGACAGACTGTATGTAATTATTAAAGTCGAGAAGAAAACAAATTCATATGGTAGAAGGAAATAAAAAATAAAGCTAACACAAAGCAGTTTTTCAATGGGTTTTCAGTCAAAGGAAAAAACAATTACAATATTCTGCACATACAATTTTTCAAAATAATATTAAGTCTCGTGTTGAAAAAGGGTAGCAGAGAACTGAATCATTGTCGTATTAAAAAAGTGAACAATAGTTTGAAGTTAGTGAACAATTGTTTTTTTTTTTTTTTTTTTTTCTTTGACTGAAAATCAACAACAACAAAATTCTTTGTGAACACACAACATGTACTACTATGTTCGTAAAATTATTTCTTAAAATTTGGTTTATAAAATGTATGAAGAAGTTTGGTCGTAACTACACAGTTTATCTTGTATACGAGATGTTTTTGGTTTATCTTCTTGCATTATTACTTATTGCCAAAGTGAAAGGCATTGAAATGAATCTGATTAAAATATACAGCAAGAAAGTCAAAGAAACTCAACTTAGCAATTGATTTTTTATTATTGCCATAAGTTTTCCTTTTATTTTGCAGGTTCCAAGAAAGTTCAGCTAATTTGAAGGGTCATAATTTGACCGAGGGAACCATTGGAAGAAGGAAAAGAACATCAAAAAATTCACCTCTGAGAAGTGCTAAGTCTAATTTAAACTCAAGTTATCAGCAAAATTTGTTTTCCTCACCGTCTAGTATTTATTCTCCTTCAGATGCAACATTCTCAGACATAAGTATTCAAAATCAGACAGAAACGTGTCAACCCAACACATCTATACAAAAAAACAGAAGTAGGAGTTTTTTAAGTTGTCAAGATTCATCACCCCACATTGTTAACAAAAGTACAAATGTAGACATATCAAAAAGTGGCTTAAACACAAAAACAAACAAAAGAAAAAGATCATCATTCAGTTCAATTCCAGATGAACCTAGAAGGAAAACTCTAAGAAGCATACATTCTTCTCTATTAATTTTGGATAAAAACCAGTTGTCAAGGATAACAAAATCTAACAAAAATTTGAACTGTTCAATGTTAAACAAGTCAAGAAAAACATTCAGTCGGGTTCAAAATACACATGGAAGTTCACATATGGATACCATTTCAGCTAGATCACTTTTACAGCAAACAAGTAACAGCATGAATCAGCTACCATTAAAAAGTCATTCTTCTTTGCAGCTTGGGGAGGATTCAGATTTAACAAACAATTCCAGAAATATAAATGACTCATCTGTTGTTTCAAATTTGTATTTTAATTTTAATCCTGAAGAAACTAAAGGAAAAGAATGTACCTGCATAAGTTTAAATTCATCTCTATTCAATTCACAAACGAAAAATTTGTCCAGAATAAACAGGACTGATTCATTCGACCAATCGTTATCACCTAGAGATAGACATGAAACAGAATTACCACGATTAGATACACTAGAAAAGTCAGTTGATGATCCAAAAGCAAAATTACCTCAGAAGAGAAGTCATTCAAGTTTAAGTCACTTAACTCCAGCTGAGAAAAAAGTTACACAAGCTAATAAAACTTTGAATGATTCTCTATTAAAAAGTTTTCATTTTGCAAAAGGAGGTAAAAAACCTATAAAACGTTTGAGATCTTCAGAACCACTGAGAAAAACAAGTGTTAAGAAGAATGGCACATTTAAAATAATATCCCCAAAGAAATTGAGTTCTTCTGTTTTGTCATCTAATAAAGACCAGGTTCCAAGAACTTCACGGGCTAATAAAACTATGAGTGATTCATTATTACGTAGTTCTCATATTAAAACAGGTGTTAAACAATCTATAAAAAATGTGAAAACGTTAGTACCTGTGAGAAGAACAAGTGTTAAAAAGAATGACTCATTAAAAAAAATATCCCATAAGAAATTAAGTTCTTCTGTTTTACTAGCTAATAAAAACCATGTTTCAAGAATTTCACGTGCTAATAAAACTATGAGTGATTCATTATTAAGTTCTCAAATTCAAGCAGCAGGTAGCAGCATTGTCAAGCAACCTATAAAAAACTTGAAATCCATAAAACCACTGAGTAGAACAAGTGTTAAGAAAAAAGGCTCATTAAAAAAAATATCTCCTAAGAAATTAAGTTCTTCTGTTTTATCATCTAATAAAGACCAGGTTTCAAGAACTTCACGTGCTAATAAAACTATGAGTGATTCATTATTATGTGGTTCTCAAAATAAAACAGCAGATAGCCGCACTGTCAAGCAACCTATAAAAAACTTGAAATCATTAGAACCATTGAAAAGAATGAGCGTTAAGAAAAATGACTCACTAAAAAAAATATCTCCTAAGAAATTAAGTTCTTCTGTTTTATCATCTGATAAAAACCAGGTTTCAAGAACTTCACGTGCTAATAAAACTATGAGTGATTCATTATTACGTTGTTCTCAAATTAAAACAGCAGGAAGCAACATTGTCAAGCAACCTATAAAAAACTTGAAATCGTTAGTACCACTGATAAAAACAAGTGATAAGAAAAAAGCCTCATTAAAAAAAATATCTCCTAAGAAATTAAGTTCTTCTATTTTATCATCTAATAAAAACCTGGTTTCAAAAACTTCACATGCTAATAAAACTATGAGTAATTCATTATTATGTGGTTCTCATACAGGCAGCAGCATTAAGCAACCTAGAAAAAACTCGAAATCGTTGGTACCCCTGAGAAGAACAAGTGTTAAGAAAAATGCCTCTTTACTAAGAAAATCTTCAAGAAATTCTCAAAATACATCTGGAAGTTCATCACCTGTAAAACCATCAAAAAGCAAAACCAGTGTTAATAAAAATAATAGCCTTTTTTTAAAAAGCCCAATATCTCCTTCAGCACTTGCCAATGATTCTATTTCATTAATGAAAGAAAAAAATTCACCTTCAATTTCCATGTCGACTATTAAAAATCCTAACTCGAGCATGTTTTCTCCTCGTGAAACGTTCCATTCATTTAAAAATGAAACCAATGGTAGTATGTCAATTGAAAAAATGAACAAAAGCTGCTCTACAGTAACTGATTTCTCTCTGTGTTGTGGCGATTCCTTTTTTGATAATTCTTCATCTTCAACAGCAGGCATATCAAAAGGTGTGAATCAGCATTCTCAGAAAAAGTCACAATTGCCCAATCCAACAAAAAATATTGATGATTTGGCAAAACCCAGGAGGAAATTACTTGCCAATAAAAGTTTGAATGAACTTTTAGAATCAAGTGGTACTAAGTTTAAAAGAACAATGCGACAAAACAAAACTTTAAATGAATCCATTTTAAAACAACTTATGCTGAAGGAAAGAAAAAGTCGAGTGGAGCAAAATTCTTTAAACAGTGTGATTGCAGATGAGTCGTTAGTTAAAAATAAAACCAAAGATGCATTTTTAAGAAATTTTAATTTGCCATTAAAAAAGCAAAAAGGTATGTACGAGTCCCTTCAGGATTCCCTAATTTCACTTGCATCTTCAAAAAGTTATACTTTTACACCAGACAGGGATGATAGAAGTTGCAGAAAAAGTACAGAGGCCTCAATGGAGGCTGATAAAAGTATGAAAGCTGATTGGTCACAAGAAATTGATAAAAATAAGCACATTACACCCAATACTTCAACACTTCACTCTTTCTTACCTGACAAAGAGAACTTTATAAAAAGCACAAATTCTCATCCATTCATTGATAATAAAAAACCTAAAACTCCAAAGCGTTCAACAAGTAATGAAGAAAGGTACTCACTTAGATCCAGCAATTCATATGAAAATGATAGTGCTATGACAAGACAAAATTCCCCTAGTAAAACTAAGAATGTTTTGAATAAACCAAAATTGGTCGTGTCCAAGGTAAATTCAGATTTAAGTTGGTCCAAAAAGCTCAACAGAAGTAAAATACTGAAAGCGCAGCGTCCAAATTATGTATACAGTCCTTCAAGATTCATTCACAAAAAACAATAAATAAATGACAGTGGTTGTTATTTTTACTTTTATTAAATATGAAGAGTTGTTATATCATGTTAAAAACTTTTGTAAACATAATTTCTAATAGGTTAATGAATGTATAGATTTTGCAAAATATATTTGTTGTCATATGTAACATCATTGTATTTAATTGCCATGATAGAAACTGATACTAAGCTTACCAAAATCATAAGGGATGATAAAGTAGCAGGGAAAATGTACTTAGTGTAAAAATTAATTTTAGTCATAATTTAGTATTGCAGAACAGGCATACTTAGTATTTAGCAGGTTACAAACAGGTGAATAAGGCCAGGACATCCTGGCCATCTTGACCCGACCCTCTGATGCTAAAAATGCAATAAAAAATACGATTTAAAAGAAATGGGAACAACAATGGGTTGGATTGGCAGAGCAGCTGCTATGTATCAAGACATCAATGGGTGTCTCCTGGAGGGTCTGAATTATAAAAGAGGAATTATCTTTACCCAGTTAAAAACAGGCCATGAAAACGAGAGTCAGTCACTACTCCAGCATGTGGAGAAAGATTACTTGATGTGTCCTATTTGATTGAAGGGTATGCTGAGGAGGAGTTTTATTGATGAGAAGTATGTTTCTATTAGCTTGAATGTGTAGTGCAAGAAGGCCAGTGGAGGAAACATTAAGTACCGCAATGATTTTTAATTATATTAGTTTTATAATAAGTTTAAAGGCTGATGGAGGACTACACTGCCCTAATTGAATTAATAGATGTAAAATGGAAAGAATATACACAGATAGACAAAATAAATGCACTACCCATAGATTTTAATGTATTTTGGTTTATTTATATTTGTATACCAAAAATAGGTTTGGTCATAAAGATAACACGTAAAAAAAAAAAATTTCAGCCCCTTTAATATACCTAGTATTACTACCTAAATGCCTATCCTTGGAAAAGATTTCTGATAAAATCCTGAGGAATTTTTTCTCATTCTTCAAGAAAAGCCATTTCCAACTTTAAATGTGATCTGTTTGGCTTCAAGCTGGCCACACCAAGCTCTCTATCCAACCTCATTCAGGTAGGCCATAATATGTGCTCTATGTGGCATGGCTTTATCCTGCATTAGCAAGAATAACCAATGTGAGGGGCAAATAGCATTAACCATCCCTAACCATGGAATGTCACCTGAGGAACTGTACAGCATGGGTTGAATCTTTCTCCTGAGCATCTCCAAATGAAACTATTCCCATCTGAAGGTTTTGAGGCCAACTCTCATCTCATCTGTAAAGGGAATTAGTCCCCAATCTTCCGATGTCCAGTTCACATGTTCCTACGTGAATTGAAGCCTGGCCATTTCCTGAGCTGTGGTAAGAAGAAGCCGGGTTTATTAGGAAGCGGAGGTTTCGAATTCTACAAGCACTGCACTATTCTCGCTTATTGTTCATTCCTAGATCCTTAAATCAATTCAATTGACTCGACCCTTTTCTTAAGAAGTAGATCATTGAAAGTAATTCCTGCAATTATTTTTCTAGAGAATTTTTTTTTCTTAATATCCTAGGTTAAATAATTGCTTTGCATTAGAAGATAATAAGGTTGGCAGTTTCTTCCTCATCATTGAACAACCTACAATTGTGGGCCATCATTGACTATACCCGCATGTAGGTTTTTTCTAAGGCGGCGGTGATCAATGTATTGACATATCACTCATCTAAGTTTTATTCAACTGTAGCAATGTATTTGCTGTTGTGATTCCTCGTAATGGAAACAGAAAAAAACAGAGGTCATTTCAACCCTCAGTTTTTGAAAAACAAAAACCCATTTGCAAGTAAGTTTGTTGGGTTTGTATGGATTGCAGGGATGATGGATTCGAACCCTGGACCTTTACTGTGATGAGCGCCGTGTCAATGCATAAATGTTGTAGCCTCTGATGTCCCCTTAATAATTAATTAAATTAATAATTTACAAATTATGAAATTTAGATAGGGCGCCCAAGAAAATAACCATTGAATATACTTGTTATTATGAAAATATTTAATTATTCTTTCTATGATAAATTGTTTTATATTAAAGAAGTAGTCTTGTTTTTAATTTTTTATGGTTAATAGTTTTGTTTATAGTTTTAAATTTAATTGTAAAGGGAAATTTCATTTCATCGGCCGCTTAAAGTTGACCAACCTGAGATCACTGACGTTTATTTATGTCCCTTTCACTTTGTTTTCTCTCGCAGAATTAACAGAATTTCTTTTCTAATGTGTTTGTTTGTTTAATGTTTCGACCGTGGTTTTGGAAGAGAGGACGTTGTTAATTTTCACTGCGGCCGTCGAACAAAATTGTTTCCCTCGGCTGTATTTCATTTTCTCTCGTTTTCCATTTTTCGGACACAGTTTCGCGGAATTTAATCTCTCGCTAGTTATAGCCCGCCATTATAATACGTTCCGACACACGTCTCGTTAGAATATCGCTATTAAATTTCGCCCTCTTGTTTTTTCCCCTCTTTTCCAGTATTCTTTTCGAATAAGCAGACACGGAATGGCAAAAGTGAAGGTTCAGAACTTCTTAGACTGATTCATACTGTAAGTTTTTTTGTCCTTTTTTTAATTGAACATTAACCGTTTTTACCCCTTTCTTCTGCTTATTTAAACTTCCGACTGGTCCTGGGCTTTTCTAATTTTGGTTCCCAGCACCGTCGGTTTTATTACACTCGCTCCACATCACTTCTTTTTTAGATTATCTTTACGATTTTCCATTAAAAAATTTATAGAAAAAAGGACTTTACTAAATTGTAATGTAACGTGGAGTGAGTTTTACACCAACACCGCGTGTAAAAATCCTTCTTCTTTTCCCCTTAAAATAACTTGTTTTCTGTTTTTTTCCAGATACGTGCGTACTTACGAGTTAATTGGACTGTGTAAACAATGGCTCTTCAGATGAAAAATAAGGTATTTGGAAAATTTGAAAACTTAGCCCGTGTTAATCTTACTTAATTTACATATAATCCTTTCCTTGGCGATATTTGACAGGTCTGTATTTGGCATTTGTCTAGAAATTATAAAAAGTCGGAAAAAGAAAACCGTGTGTTACTCACAGTCTCAACTATTTTCTCTTTTAATCGAGCCTAACCGCTTAATTTGTACAACGTTTAAGTACAAACGTGAACATTTTTTCCCTCAATTTAAAATTACAACAATTTCTTTTATCTCCAGATTACACAATTGTTAGTCTCTCCCCCGACATTATCATAATTTGATCATATTTTTTCAAGTATCCATTTGATTTATTTAACAAAAAAAAAAAATTACACAATTATCAAGGTACAATATTTCTTTTATCTTGATATGCACCTTGAATTTGTTATGGATTATGGCCATTTGTGTATTGTTTGGTTTTGGATGATCTTTGTAATGGGTTCAGTCCAGTCCACTAAAAGTAACACAGCATATTTTAATACCTCTTCGCCTAAAATAATAAGTAAAATAATATGAAAATAATAATAATTAAAAGTCAGCCAAAATATCAATTATTAAAAGTTATGCATGAAAAAAATTGTATAATTTGTATTAGTTTTTGATTTTGACAACAAAGCTGCACCGTGCAACCTTTACAAATATTTTAAAATTTATTGTATAACTCCAATTTCTGGGAAATTGGGTAGGTGATATGGGGACCAGGACATGACAGGTACGAAGGTGGTAATGAACTGAAAAACTACACTGATTGACAAACTAAACGCACTCTATTTAGGTTCTTTCAAATGTGCACACAAAAAAAAAAAAAAAAAAAAAAAAAAAAAATGGGCATAAAAATAAAACATTTAAAAAGAAAATATTTATTAAAATAAACAAATTAATAAATAAAAACAATTTGGTGTGGGTCTCTAAGGAAATGCCACCTGTACAGCATGCAAACCTTTCTCCTGAGCATGCATGACATTGACATTATGCCCATCTGAAGATTTGAGGCCAACCCTCACCTTTTCTTTAAAGAGAACTCGCCCCCAGTCTGCCAATGTCCAATTCACATGTTCCTGTGTGAATTGAAGCCTATTCATTTTGTGAGCTGACGTAAGAAGCGTTCTACGAGCCAGATGCTGTGCCCTGAGGTTATTTTCATTGTGCCTTCTTCTTACAAGTGTGAAGGAAGTCAAAATATTTCAGACGTCTTATCAGATTTCTTATCTCATGGTGCGGTTTCGTAGATCTTGGTGATGTATCACTCTATCGTCTCTCATCCATAGTCCTAGATCAACCCTGTCTTGATCTAGTGTGAAGCCCTCTTTCTCTGAAGCGCCGAATAATCCTTTCTATTGTACAGTGATTTACACTCAGTCTCCTCGGGACTTCATGCTGGCTGTATCCTTCGTCTAAAATGTTATGACCCTGACACTGTCATACTCACTCAAATACCTGACTAGAGCCGTTAAGAATAAGAATATCAGATGAAATCAACAAAGAAAAAGGTTTAACTGAAAGCGATCTTTAGGGGTAGCAGAATGGAAGGGCATAATGCTACTGTTTTTGCAAATGGGATTAATCAGTTCAAAAGTAAATGAAGAAGTAAACAAAGTATTATGTACTGTGTATTTTGATTTCGCTAGCTTCTAATTTTCTGTAACTAATAAAGAAAGATAATGGGTTTAATTTTAGACTAAATAAATTGAGGGTGCTTTAAATTTGTCCATAAGTGTAGCAAAAACAGGAGCAAATAGTAACTCAGACTGGTTGAATGCCTTTATTATTTAAAATAAAATAATAATATATATTAACACATGGTGGCATGAAAGCATAAAATACATATATTACAAAAAAAGACAATGAAACAATTGAAATTCAAATTAAATGATTAGGAAAGACTTGAACACAAAAGCAAATAATAAAAAATGAATTGATTATTTTAAGAGTATTGTCATAATCCAGTTGTTAAAACAGTGCGTTTGTTTATGTTCCATTTGTCCCAATTCTAAAACTGTACATTCACTTCTGTCTTATCAAAGTGGATTGGTTGAATGTTCCTCAGTGTTAAACACATTTTTTGAGTAATGATTCCTTTTTGAATGCATTTGCAAAGGAAGCTTTTCTCACTTTTGACAATTTTTTTTATCATCTGTTAATTACTGGATAATATGCAAGCATCTGGTTCAAGTGGTCATTTTTTCCCTCCCTCATTGTATTCAACAATTTTTATATTCTAACTAAAAGTTAATGTTTATTAATTACTACAAAAGCTTCTGTACATGAAATGGTTATACATTTAAAAACTGAGAAATATAGAATAAAGATGTTTTTAAAAAATGCTGGGCTCACCATTTGAATTTTTATTTTTAAGTATATATATTTAATAAAGTATGTATATTTATTATATAAATATTTATAAATATATACTGTCCCATTCAGTGTATTAGTGTATTATCTACTATTTGATTGAGAGGGGAAAAAGGTTAAAACAATATTATTGTTCACATTGAGGAAGACCTAAATATTAGTCTAATACTTTTGTTTGGAAGGATTTCTATATGATCTGTAACAACAAATTAAGGGTTTATTACCGTGCAGACCACATAGATAAATCTCACAATTTAATTATTTTCGTGTTGATTATCTCGGCTCTCGGATTGAGATGTTTATGGTCTAAAAATATATAGGCTGTGAATAGGTACTTAGTAGCCCCCAATACGAGAGGCATCTTGTTAACTCTGACGGCTGTGTTGGTGTTCAGTAGTGCCCAAGTTATGCTAACATTCTTAGAGCAATCCTTTGCATTTCCATCACAGTTGAAACTCAATATTCTTCAAAAAGGGTGGTTGGAATTCTTTTCATTTCCTCTTACTGTATGAATTTACACTATGCAAATTACGGCAATATCTTTCTCTGGTTCCTGCATGTTTTTAAAAAAATTTAGAACTTGCATACTGTTTTATTTTCCAAATGTAAAATACCCTTGTCTAATGGGAAAATTGATTTCCTTCAGAACCCCTACTGACTACTCGTGCTACTTTTTCTTTAATCAATTATATTTATTGGTCTGATTGATCAAATTACTTCTTTCAATTAATTAATCTTTTTATGTAAGGTCTTGGTTAAAATGAAAAAGTCGACAGCCGAAGGTCGTGGGTTCGAATCCTGCTCATGACACTATCTTCATCACAAGACCTTACATAAAAAGATTAAAGTTTCTTGATGACTTTGAATGGTTAATTTTTGAAAATTAAGAATTCATCACCCCACAGGCCCCATGAAACTCATAATCACAATCTTTGTATTCATTTTTATATTTTATTAACTTGTCATCTTTATCTGCATGTCTGTTCATTTTTATATTTTATTAACTCATCATTTTTACCTGCTATGTACATAGGTCAATTTTTAAGTCTTTTGTTAGTCATTTGTGACTTGTGAATATCATTCCAATAATGTTTGAAGTTTCCCATTGAAAAATTATATTTAATATTGTTCATAGCAAACATTTCTCTAGGAGCCATTCCACCGATTGTTTGTACGTTGTTTTTGCCAGAATGTCTAAAGGATTCTATTATTTATTTATTCATTCTTTTTCACAATTGAGAATATATATGGATTACCAATATAGTTTTGTGTTCTTTTGTGGCAGAACTTTCTCTAATAACCTCAGATAATTGAGATAGCATTTGACATTTGACCCGTTTGTAAACACTAGTGGACAAGTGGACATACGCTTACACAAAACATTCTTAATTTATTATAAGCATTTATAAGTAGATTTAACAACATAGGTTGGTAAAAATTAATTAGTGGGAAATAGGGGGAGAGAAGAAAAGTACAACAAAATCAAGTCATACTATTCAGTGATTATATCACATTCATCTGGGCTGCAAAACTTTAGATTGATATTTAATATTTGGTTAACTGAATTTATGAAAGAGTACCCTTTCCATTTTGAATCTATTACATTAGAAATCCGTTTATTCGGACTTTATGTGACCAGGACTTGTCCGGATGATCGAAAGTCCAGATAATCTGAAAATTTGTGATTTTGTTAGAATCGTGTCATAAAAACAGAAAAACCACATACGAAAGTGAACACTTTTATTTCATATATCAAGTATCATTTAAAGTAATAGATAGTAACCAATTAATTAAGGTTTTCAGTTGAAGATAAAAAATTCAATGGCACGAGCGGGATACGGATGGTTGAGATGGGAAGTTGGTGTCCAAGAGGATCGAGGTCACGATAGCTCAAGTGGTAAAGCAGCAGCGTATCAAATCGAAGATCGTGGGCTCGAATCCCGCTCGTGCCATTCACTTTATCTCAACTGACAACCTTAATTAATTGGTCAAGCGGACCACAAAACTAGGGAATGTAATAGATAGTTTTTATTTTTGTTTAAGTCCGGACAGGCGTGTCAAAAAATTTATATGTAAAAAATAATAAATATATTAAATAAAAATATACGTATTAAAAACAAACCCTTTTAACGGAAGCCAACATACAAACAACACGACACAATTTCTAGTATTTTAAAATAATGTACAACTTTTTTTTATTTTTTTTTAACAAAAACGTGACTGTAGGCCTCTTCGATCGTGTGACTAGAGGAAGGGCGATTTGGTGGCCTTTACGAATTTCGAACGACAAATTAACGGTCCCATAGTTGAATTATGAGTTTAAAAAAATTAATATACATACATTGAGAATTATGAAAAATTTATATAAAAATGTGTGGTGTTTGATGACCGTTAGTTAATGATTATTTGGAGACTGTACCACTATACACTCCTATACCAGACCGTATCTCACGATCTCCAAATAATTTATAAAAAATATTTAACAAATGGGTACGAATCATTGGCGTCCGGATAAACGGACCAGGTTTCCACTGTATTACAAAACAGGTTGATTACATTTTTAACAAGAACTTTATTTAATTATTTTTTGAATGATGTGTTTATTTTGTTGGAGAATAAATGATTAAATTATTTGCACTGCTGTTTTTTTTAATAGTGATTCACTGATTGAATTTAATTAGTTAGCACACATAATATGACTTATTTAGTACACATACAGTCTATTAAAAAGAAGTTAAATAAGTAAAATAAAATAGATAAAATGTGTTTTATTTAGTTAGTTTTCATTTGAATTGAAAATAAATTAAAATCCAAATACAACTAATCAGTTACATTAAAGTAATTCAGTTATAATTTTCCAGCTGTGATGAAGAACATAGGAGAACAGCTGACAAGATTTTTTGACAAGTTATTTTTATTGTTTTGAAAAAAGTTGTAATACAAAATAATTTTCGTTTGCGGGGACGCATCACTTGACAATGGTAAGATTTGTTGAAGATTTAAGTGTCTCAGGTTCTGTTTCTTGATAGTGTATTTTAACAAAGGGATAATATGATTGATTTTACGATTGTAAACTGGTGGGAACAAGCTTTCATAAAGTTTTCAATTCTGGGCATAACTCGTTAAAAGGAAATAATGGGAATAACTAAAATGATCAATTTCAAAAACAATTCACTTATTTACTGGTTTCTTTTTTTTTTTTTTTCTTTCTTTTCTTTTTTCTAAGTAGAATTTTGAACAGTTGAACATATGAAATTTAGAAGTTTCAGAATATTTGAGGATTGTGATTTAACATTAATTTATTTCACTTCAACATGTAAAATGTCAGAAATCTTAAATTGTGAATTTAAAAAAAAAAAAAATTAAATAATTGTAAAATCAGTAAAAATGATAGAGCTCATAATTACAATTTTTAGGTATGTTTTGTAATACACGTGGCATTTGAATGATTCATTGTAAAGAGAAAAAAATTATTAAAAAAAGAAAGTAACACAATTGCTTATATCTTTACATAAAGCTATTTTGTCAGCAATCATCAAATTGTTTGAAATAAATTGTAATTTTTTTCAAAATTCAAATATTGAAAAAGAAAATGCTGGCAGTTATAATTTTCTTTTTGGAATTGGCATTTTCTTCAATCATTTTTATTTTTTTAAATTATTTTGTAAGGACAATTAATCCTCCACATATTTACTGTGACCATTTTATTAATTATTGTAGAGATAACCTTTTAGACGCAAATTTAAAAAGAAAAAATGTGTTCTGAGTCATATGTGTCAGCACATTATCAGATTTTTTTAAATGAGGGATTGCAACAGCAGAGGTCATATAAATTCTTGAGGTGTCTGGGTCTTTGTAAAATTTGTAACTTGCCGATTTGTAAGTACGTCGGGTTCAAATACAGGGCCATTAGATTTGAACTTGGGACTACCTTAGAGTATGAGCGTGAAAGTCTAAACCTATGTGGCCACTGACGCCCTCTAGACATTTTCCAATTGCTGTTTATGATTTCATTTTGCCTCTGCCCATAATGATATTTCAGAATCTAAGAAAATGAGGTTGAACCATTAGAGAAAAAAGTCAGTTTTTAGGTCAAATAATTACATAAATAGCATAAGTTATTTTAAGTGAGCTTTTATTTGGGTATTTATTAAAAAATATTTCATTCAATTTAAGTTGAAAATATCCTTTTTTAACTTTTTTCATATATTTTTACAAATACAAATGAATTTTTTAATGTATTCTATATAAAGATATGTAATTAAACTGGATAATACACAATATGTTGTACATACACAAAATACAACTTGTATTTTCATGAATTTAACAAAAACTAAGTATATGTTGAATTGTTGATATTTTGCATAAAATTTATAAACAAAGTAGATAATGAAATGTGTTATTTTGTAATAAATCAATCAATATCCAAAACCAAGTGCTGAACACATTTGATGCACAAAATGTGTAAAATAATTTTTCTTCTCTTTGATTTCAGGGGATGCCTAATGAAATAAAAGACATAAAGGAGCCAGTGGAGTCTCCCTCCCCCACAGTAAACTGTAACAACAATGCACCAAAGTACGGTACAGTAATACCAAATAGAATATTCGTAGGCGGGATATCCTCTTCTACCACCGAACAAGATTTAATGCAGCTATTTTCAAGTTATGGAACAGTACAAAATGCAAAAATAATTGTTGATCGTGCAGGTGTATCTAAGGGTTATGGCTTTGTTACTTTTGAAACTGATGACGAGGCAAAACGCTTACAGAAAGATGTAGGTATCAACTTTGACAGTTTGTTGTATTATTTGTTTATATTTACCTTGTTAACAGGCTGAAAATATAGTACTGAAAGAAAGGCGACTAAATATTGCCCCTGCCATTAGAAAACAAGTTCAGACGGTATGTATATTTATTTTTTATCAATAAGAACTAAAGAACATCAATAAAATAAGACAACTCAAACATAAACATCAATTTTAAATATTAGAGAGTATTGTTATTTAACAAGAATATTAATCAGGGATATGGAAGGCCGTCATATGAAGGGGTCCAGGCTGGTCCAGGAAGTCCTGTTCCACTTCCAAATCAAGTATGTAGACAGAATGGAGTTACATATACTTTCCTAAATGGTGTTGCATATTTCCCTCACCAAGCAGTTCCACCTCAAACTGCTCAACCAATGACACCATTGCCAGCAAATCACGTAGAACACTCCCCTGTGTACACAGCTGGTAAATATCCAACAAAAAGCGAATTATTTTCAAGAAATGATTTCTTGCATGTTTGCTCTGTATTATTAAGGGAATAACTTGGTTTTAAAACTTAAACGATAATTTTTTTTAAAGAATTGTTTTACTCACAATTGTCGTAACTTCTCATTGCTCTATCCGGTTTTACATCACTGATTCAATTAAAGGTTATGGTATTACGTCATGTGTACAGTCACAAAGAAAATATAACATATGTAAATCAAGGCATTAAACTATTTTAAATTTTTATTTTCAAATCAATTATTTTCTACTTACCAAATGGAAATGTTACATTTACCAAATCTTTGAGATGATAGATTTCACAAATGCCCTATTGTTGTATAAGATGTTAGATTAAATACTGCAGTGATTAATAAATTATGAGTAACACGTTTGGCAAAAGAATGAATTTGCCACTCATGATATGAAATTCTATTTTAGTATTTTGAATAAACATTGCATTTTGGGGATTGCGTTGGCCGAGTGGTTAGGACATTCGACTCATATTTGTAATGCTAGTGGCTCTAGATTTAAATCCCCCAGCTTTAATTAAGAATAATCCGATGGATCGAAGTTTCATTTTGAATAATATTGATTAAAAATGACCATAATAGGCTAAATATTGATAAAGCCTTTAGTTCACATGTACGTTGTTTTCCCAAATAAACTAATAAACAGTTGGAACTAAAGGCTTTATTGACATTCATCCTATGATAATGAAGTTCTACCACAAAAGTACATCAAACCTTGAAAAAATCATTAACAATTACGTATCAGTAGTTGAAAAGCACTATTTACCAAGTAATTATTAAGCAGATTAAAGGTAGTCTACAACAAAATGCTAATGATGATAATATATTAAATTTGTCTATCTTAAGGAATATAAGTTATTTAAATTTTAATTAAGCATGCAAGAAAGATTTTCTGTATAACGTATTTCAGTGTAATGCATAATTTAACAAAAAATTATTATTCCAGCTGGAACTTATTCTGGATTGCCTCAGTCAAATTCTGGCCAAAGTTACCCTTTTTCTTATGCACCTCAAGGCCATATTTACTACCAAACCCATTATCCTTATCCAATGCCTGTAAGTACTGCATTTATTTATAAATTTTACATAAAATCATGTGTAATAATTTCTTTAACAAGTATGTATATGTTACTGCTGTCCTACTAATGTCACAGTGCTTAGCACTTAAATGTGTCACATAACCTAGACCAAAAGTAGTGTTTATTTTAATTTAGGTATTTAGAGCAGATTGTACACAAAACAAATCAATTTTAATGTTTATCCTGCTTTCAATCGAGCTTTCCTTTTTTTAGCGTTTGAGTCAAATTAAATATTTAAAAATGTTAAAATTTTGTTTTTGTATGGGTGTAGTGCAATGGAGCTGCTGGGTATGTGGGTCCTTCAGAAGGATTTGCTGGTCATTATCAACCGACTTACATTATTGTAAATACACTCCCAATTCCTTATTAATATATAAAGAATTTTCTCTCTTCATCTGCAGCGAGTCCGGCTCACCTTTTAAGGTTTGCAGAAAGATTTTCAATTTCATGTTAATAACAATTGCATGAAAGTGAGTTTGATAAAAGATTATTGGTTTTGTACTTAAAAGGTTTTAAATTATTGGGTTGTCCGGAAAATAATGCAGGATTTTGGTATTAAACAAAAAAAAAGAAACTAGTTACTTTAAAGCAATGTTCTTTAATCAAAATAATTTTCTCCCAACGTGTTGGTAACTTATTAATTCCGTCTGAGTAGAATTCAGAATTTTTAGAATTGATAAAGTCAATAAATGCATTTTCCAGTTCCGTTTGATTTTTGAATATTATGTGTTGTAAGTAGTGGTCCAGGTGTCTAAAAAAATGGTAGTCAGTAGGCGAGAGGTCCGGAGAGTAGGGTGGGTGAGGCAAAGTTTCATAGCCAAGCTCCAATAATTTTTGTGACGTTACACGTGACACATGTGGTCGAGCGTTGTCATGCAACAAAATGGGCCCTTTCCGATTGACCAAAGAGGGCTTCATTACTGCCAATTTCTGATGCATGGTATTAATTTGGTTACAGTATGATTCAGCATTGATGGTTTCGCCAGGATTTAAGAAGCTGTAGTGTATTAAACCAAATGAAGCCCACCATACCGTAACCATTACCTTTTTTTGATGAGTTGGGGGCTTTGGAAAATGTATTGGAGCTTCTCCTTTGTCGAGCCACTGTCCAGAACGTCTAGTGTTATCGTAGAGAATCCACTTTTCGTCACATGTAACAATTCTGGCCAGAAATGGGTCATTTTTGTTTCGACAAAGAAGTGATGCACAAACATCAAAGCGCTGATTTTTTTGGCGATCGTTTAATGAGTGTGGAACCCAATTTTCGAGTTTTTTCACTTTTCCAATCGCCTTGAGGTGGTCAGCGACGGTCGTTTTACTGACTTTGAGTTGCTCTGCAAGTTCTCGAACAGTTGTTTTGGGGTTTTCTTCCACCACTGATCGCAGAACATCATCATTAAGAGAGGAAGGCCTTCCACGACCTTCTTCATCTTCAAGGCTGAAATCTCCCTCCCGAAATTTTTTAAACCACCTTTGCACAGTGCACTCATTAACACAACCCTCGCCCCAGACTTGGTTAATGTTTCTAGCCGTTTGGGCTCCGCTTCGGCCGAGTTTAAACTTGTAAAAGAAAATCGTACGAAATTCTCGCTTTGACATTATAAGGATGACTGAATTATTTCCAAGTAGCGGAATGCTACAGAGGTAAACAAACAATATCATTTGGAAGAGGATTAATAAGTGTTGACATTCATACAAATGAGTAATCCTGTAAACGTAAACAGAATATTTTATATAGATTTTTTTTAATGAAAACTTAAAATCCTGCATTATTTTCCGGACAACCCGATAGAACTTTTATTCATTCTTTGGGTAGACATTTTGGGTTGGTGATTCATAGTATTTCATGGAATTGATTATGTCTCAGGTACAAAATGAGTGGAAATTTAGGGAAAAACTCAAAACCAGACAATTGTATTTATTAGAAATGATTAATGGTGGAGTATGTTGTTCAGTATTTAAAAGATAGTTCCTACTCACAGTTGTTGTTTTCAATGATTCTGATTTCAAGTTTATCATCACTTGAAGGGATTTACAACCATGTCTCTCGACATGAATTGTAAAAGTGAACCGGCGATCCCCACCAAATTGAGTTCCAATTTGAAGCCGTTTTTAATGCCGCTCAATTATGAACATGCAACAATTAGACTCAGCACCCCACCAAAAATGAATCATTAGGTTTTAGTTGTTTATCATACATTATTGAACTATCAGAAGCGGGGTTTACCAACGTAATTGTAATGATTGTGATATTAAATATATAGGACAAATATAGCAATATAGCATTTAAAACGAAAATTAAATATCACTTATTTAAACCAAACAAATTTTCATAATTTAAGAAAAACTTCAAAATCAAACATACACATACAAACAAAAAATATTTTTATCTGACTAACACTTGCAACATGACAGCCTTGACACATCTACACACACTTTGAGTGAATACAAATTTTTTGAATAAGCCTAAAATTTCTATATTGCGTACATCATTGTTTAAATTCATTTTCACATCTTAAAAATGGATTTGTACAATCCAAACAATGTTTGAAAATCCCAGGCCCTGAAGATGATCTAAATAAAGATTGAAATGTTGGCACAACAAAGAAAATCTTTTTCTAAACCTACATCACAAAAGACCACATCTCACAATCTAAAATAATCATTAATTAACAGTCATTAAATACAACACATAATATTTGAGTTAATAATTCCCTCTTTTCACATGCTCATAATTGAGCAGCATTAAAAACTAGCTTCTCATTGGAACATCGTGTTGGGGGGGGGGGGCTCAGCGGGTTCACTATTACAATTCATGTCGAGAGACATCGTTGTAAATTCCTTTAAACTAATTAATTAAATTAAAGGAACTACCTTTTTATAGAGATTGTATGTATGTGTTTATTTACCATAATAACTGGGTGTAAAGATCAACAGTAGACTTAAAATTTAAACACAATAATAATAACTTGTTTTTCCCCTGATTATTTTACCAAAATATAACCTCTTTCCGACCTCTGCCAGCATTCATATCCTGCGGGCTCACTTACTTCATCTTCCTTTGCCCACACCTCAGGCTCATTCATATAGTTCCATCAGTTTGCCATGGTCTGTTAATTTTGGTGGCTATGCTCGACAGCTGGGTAGGTGGCTAAAAAGCTGCATTCCACTGAAGACCTCAAGGCTGTAAGGGAGAGGGAGTGACCTTGGCAAGTCCTTAATGCCAAGATCACTAAGCATCTTTTTCGGACACTCAGGTGTACCTCACTTCTACATCAAGCACCATATACTTTTGTGCCTTGAGTTCTGTCAAGGCATCCAATGCTCCCACAGTCTCATACATCACTTTGTCCGTGCTGCCTCTATTATGTCATGGCGGAAGAGTTCTTCTCACTCTTAAGACAACTCTGCAATGGTCACAGGAGCCGGCCACTAATAGTTCGACCCTAAGCGTAAGATTGCCATGAGTCATGTGGCTTCATCCTTAATGGGAAGATGGCAACCTTTGGAAACTGCAATCTGTAGAAATCATTAGGAGGAAGACCATGTGTTCATGCCCACCCCTGAAACAATAAGGATTTCCCCCATGAGCCCTGGCCTGGGATCCAAAACCATATCAAATCCTGTGAGAACTAAAGGGCCTATGTAAAAGATGGGTACTAACAAGGATCTAAGGGAGATTAGGTATGGTTGTATTTTACCCAACAGTAAATCTCGTAAGGTTACAACCTAGTTTCTGATACTTATAACAGCTTACAACAACCCAAGGAAACCTCCCCTCCCAAACCTGTGGAAGGGTGTTGAGAACTTAAATGTGGTTATTGTGCAGTCAGCTACGGGACCTTAAGATGTAAGACAGAAAAGGTATATTAGGTTCATTGTGAGTCAGAGGTGACTGATCCGCTAACGGTGGTGACCACAGATGGTCTCTGGGGGTCATCTTATTCTTGTGAGTTGATACTTCCTTTGTCTAAATAGAGGGGATGCTCTTGGTGTTATTGTCCTCTTCCTCTTACATGTACATTGACAGTAAGGGGTCGTCCATGCTGGCTGGCTGGTTCCGAGCACATTCACACCATGAGGCTCCTGGTTGTTTCTGTTGCAACCGTCATTAGCTTGTCTTATCCCAAGGGGGCCTGGCTTCAGTAGGTTAATGTGTATGATATTCATCTTGTCATCCATATCAATGAGGTATGTGATCTCGGTAACTCTTCTGTCCACGTGGAACAGTCCTTGGCTTATGGAATTTCCTTTATTCTTCTGACTTGACTACTAGATCCTCCACTAGTTGTCCAGGGCACACATTTCTCAGTTTTCTCTCTTTCAATCTCTCACCTCTTGTTGGCCTTGTTCACATTTCTTGCAGCCAGTTCTTGAGGTCTATTAGAGAACTACTTTATGGTGACACGTCTTTCTCACAATATGGTTGTTGGTTGCCTCCAAGCAATAGAGGGTGAACAGCCTAATATAAGTGCCAATGGGGAGTAGCCTGTGGAAGAATGTGGCACTATGTAAGCAAAGACCATAAACCGTAGCCACCTATCTCAAGCTTTTCCTTCACTGCATGATGTGGTCTCTTAGAGTACAGTACAAATGTTCCTGTTACTCTAGGGACGGTAAGTAATGCTACTATATATGGCAACGTAACACCAAGATGGAGTATCCAGTTGTTCATGAGTATCACATGTCTGTTTCTGCTTGTCGGTTCAGAATGACGGTTGCTCCCCCAAACCATGAAAAATGATCCATAACACTGAGGATGTATTCATTTCTGTAGTGACTACTTCAGAGGGGGCCCACTACATTGAAGATCTGTTTGAACGAATGTTTATCTAAGTAGGAGGGGCTATGCAATGGAGCCTTGAGTGCCTTCCTGCATTCTTCACGCCCTCGCTTAGCCTAGAATTTTCTTTTCCATACTGGGCCAAAAGTGATTTATTTTGTTGTATGGCATGGGCAGTTTGTTCTACGGACAGGTGCCCTGCCAACAGAAAATCGTGAAACCAATTTATGACTCGTGTTCTCAGGCTGGGCAGAATTAGTGCTCTGTCCTGAGTTTTAGTGCAGCTGGGTGACTTCCAATAGATGGCACCCCGATCATCTGTTCTATATGTCAGGCTCCAATCGAACCTTTTGACATTTGGCGTCTTTTCTTGTCCAGCGAAAAGGTCCTCCATAGTTAACGGATCCCATTAAACTTAGCATACATCAGAAGGGCATTGGCATTTGTATGAAGCTGACCTGGTTTGTACTTGTGCTACCACACGTTACCGCTAGATGCCACTACGACTTATGGAATATTCTCACCCTCCACTCTGCAGCCAATCAGAGTAGAGCTCTTCCTTATATAAGCAGGGGCACTGCCTCGCTGGAGGTAGACTTGTCAACCCGATGAGATTTCACCAATCACTAATGTAACCGACATCGGCAACAATGACAGCAGACTCGTCAACCCGACGAGCCATCACTAAAGGAACACCGTTGACAACAGTAAGTACTCGCAGCATTAGCCTCATCTTGCCTTCTAAACAGCCGACTTGGCCGTAAACGCCAACTGCTGCCCCTCGGCTAATTGCTGTACTCCAATACCTTCGGCGGAGTCAACCGACTCACGGCCCCCGGACCTCAGCCAACGGTTTACTCATGGTCACAGACCACCACCAACGGCGCCACACTCACCATCTCGGCCTCGATTCATTGTCACGCCTTCTCTACACAACACCCACCTCGATTCATTGTCTCGCCTTCTCTACCCAACACCGGCCCTTTTCAGGGCCACAAAACTCCCAGTCACTAAAGTACTCAACGGTAATTTGTGGAAATTCTGATTTGATGAAAGCATGCCAGCGTGCTTCAGTCTCGATGACCTGTCCTGTAATCCAAACAACCACATTAGCATAACATGATCAATGATAACCCAGAAGGGGTGTCCATAGGGAGGAGCTTCTGTTCTGTCTCTGAATAGGCTGGGGCCATTGTTGGCTAGCAACAGCCGGGTGTTCCTTGCCATTTAATTCCTGAGACAAGACGGCTCTAATCGTCGGATGAGTCTGTCACGAGAATGAATGTGGTTTCTTAAAGTCGGGGTACTTAAGGATCAGTTCTACTATCTAGACCTTCTTCAGGGACTCGAAAGCTACCTGCTCTCGGTTCCCACAACTGAACCATGCTTCATAAGTTCAGTCAGAGGCTTTGCTCTATCAACAAACCATCGATAATAGGAGGCCAATCTGAGGAACCCTCAAATCTCCTTTACCGAACTTGGTGTAGGAAAACTGGCTATACTTAATGACAGGCCATGTCTATTTTGGTAGCCCACCACTTATCCTTCGCTAGGTCTCCCGTTTTCCTTCTGAGTTTCTTACCCACAATTTGTACCTATCCACAAACTCCATATAGGTTCTTCGGCGTGCAGGTGCACCTCTTATGATTCTTGGGTTGATACATCTGAAAATTGTGCTATTAATTTGTGCATCAGTTCGATGTGAGTGATGGGGATAGTGTTGATGAAAATAAGGACATGGACCCTTCGAATATGTTTCTCAAGGCCATAAGTTTATCCAATTCCTCTCATCAACCACAAGTAACTGCTTCTCCCAAGAGCAACAAATGTCACCGTTGTTTTTTCCTTGTGCCCCTCCATTCCTGGATTTCAATCCTATGTCCTTCCTTGCGCCTTCCCTCTTCTCACTCGCCTGCCTTAATACTTCTTCGTTCTGAACTCTGTAGCCTTCGTTCACAGTCTTCAAAGATGTACGTTATGAACAACTAACAAGTAATGTTTATATGATAGGATTGAAATTAACGAACTATGTTACTTTTTTCTTTTTCAATCTCCTTCAATTACTCATTCCACAACACGCCAAACAGAGAATGCTCGGCATTTTAACCCACCTATGAACAGGCTCTGTGAACCAACGGGATAAGGCTATTAACTATTTAAAAAGGTATAGTTGAAATGGGGGGTTCTGGAGTCCACATTTTTCATTTAAATCACAAATGAACAATGCTCAGGGGAATAGTTAAGCCCAAGAAAACGAACTGGTCATTAGAGGTGATCGCAATGCCCTACCTGTCTCTGGACCCCCTCTTGCTCACATCTCCCCTTCTGCATCTTCTCTCTTCCAAGCCCATTCAATTAATTCATTAAAACCTTTAAGTAAGGTACATAAAACAGCACACAAAAAAAAGGTTTCTCTGTGATTTCCCACCTTAGAAAACTCACTTCTATGTGAAATAATATCCACAACTGAACTTAGCTTAGTCACATTCTCCATTTTATCCCACTCAAATGCCATCAAGAAAAGTGCAATGCTTATCACCGAACCCTGAGGGTGGGTACCATTTTCCTGAATGTGATCCCTGGAGAGCACAATTCTCAGCCTGACTCGGGCCAGTTTTCTAGAACACCCCAGAGAAACTGAGACAATTTCTCTCTGACCAAAATTGTGGCATTCCTGCAGAATGAACTTAATGTTAGTAATTATTCTAGGTATTGCACTAAATTTGGTTTCGTAATCATATGTACAGAATAAAGTTTAATCTTTAAAGATTATTAAGTCGTGAGTCCATGAAAATTATTGTAAAAGTTACAAAAGTTTTTATTAAGCAGTCTTGTTTTTTTATTATGATATAAAATTAATCGTGGTTAATGGTAATTAATTATGAAAATAAAATATTAAACAAGTCATAAGGGTTATTTCGGTAGGTGCATAGAAATCAATATAATTCAGAAAGATTTCAAAATGTTTGAAATATAATGCAATACTAACATCGTTTGACAACTCATTCATTTGTGATTAATATATGGAGTATATCAAAAAGTTTTACTAATTTCAGATATTAGATTGTTTTCATTACAAAATAAAAAATGTGACATTATTGGGCAGCATAACTATATTTATAAAATGAACATACATAGCCATTTAACACAATATTTTTGTTTGTACTAACTATTCTAAGTTGTGCTTTTGTGTAACAATGTTACAATGAATCCAATGCAATTATGTTTTTTAAAATTAACTTTTAAAAATTGTTGCAGCAGTTCGAAGGGTGTTACCAGGTTGGGGAATCACATAGCGGTGTTGTTACTGTTCAGTCTGGAAGTGATTCTGCTGGTGTGATATCATACCCTCAGTACTATTTAACTCATCAACCATCTCAACCGGATGTGGCTTACTTCCAGCCTCAAAACTCTGTGCAGCCTCTTTCTATCTCTCAAGAGCCTGTTATGTATACACCTCCAAGAGGTTATGATTCAACGACTGTATTTTATTCGGAGGTAATTATAATGAACTAACTTAGATTCCTGAAAAATTGCCTTTAAAATGTAGGCTGCATCGATTTCAGTCTTTAAAAAAAAATGGTACAGGTTTTTTCATTTTGAAATTATTTGTGTTTAGCAAAAGATGGCCGAGCCTTCCACGCCACCGCCACAACAGCCACCACAACAACCACCCCATCCCCACATTCTTCCACAACATCCACTACCTCACCAAATTTCACAGATAGTTCATCCCAATATGGAAGATTGTCAAAAGAAAGACAAACAAAGCAAATTAGAGACACCGGTTGTGTCCTTGTCGAAAGTTTACCATGAACGAAATGAAGATCATTTGCATCATGCTAGAATAAAATGTCAAAGTCCGGGTAGGAAAGTAGTTCAGAGGCACCTCAATAACAACAATCCTGATGTAACAAACCGAAACGTTGGTAAAAAACCCCATAGGTCCTCTCCTGTAGTTTTAAATTCCGGCCCAAGCCCTAGACCTTTCCTTGTTCCTAGTCATAACCAATCCTCATCTCTACAGGTACCACAGTTTCCATTTTACTCAGCGAGACAGTATCTCAACCCAGTGCCGCCGGCCCCGTCCTACTATCCAGCTCCACCTAGAAGAACATACTATCATAGGAATAAATACGTAAGTCGTTTATTTTCTTTCAATTCATTTTATTTGGTTTTTAAATAATTCATATAAAACATTAAATTCGAATTTCATCAAATTATCAACAGTTATTTAGATTATATTAGCTTAGGATCAAATTCTCCCACTTTCCGTCTGAAAAATGAATTTCCGTTATACCATTTTATCATTTATTTTTATTTTTAACAACTCGAACATACTTGAAACATTACTTAAACCTGTTTCCAATTTGTTGTTTCTTTTGAATTCTTTAGAGTACAAGATCAAAAAATAGTAACACTAAGTGGTTCAACAAAGACAATGCAGAAAGTGGAACCGAAGAAGGTAGCTGTGTAATGCCAAATCCACTGACACCGCCTATAACACCTAGGTCACCTCAGGATGTGGACATCACTGTACCTCAAGCAGATGACATTGTCCAGTCAATGCAAGCTTTAGCGATTTAGAGAAAACAATTTTGAATAGTCAGTGATGACGTTAATAATTTTTTTGCTACCATTACCTAAAACAACTTTAATATGTTTCATAGATCAAAATAGAAAAAAAAATATTAGATTAGAAATAATGTCGTCCTGAAAAGGACCCCTTGATTATATTAAAAGATAATAAAGATATTTCGGGAAAACCTCTGTAATTTTTCTTGTTTTTTTTTTTTTTCTCTTTTTCAGTTATTACTTTTCTTATATAAAAAAACTTATTTTCTAAAATAGTTAAATGAAACTTGTAAGATAACTTGTTTTTGTGCCAAAATTTAATATGGACTTGTGATAAATTTATCTTGTGTAACTTATGAGGCCTCGATGTATATGTAACAGAATACCTCATATTTTTGCTCAAAATGTTTACAAGAGAATACTTATTTAGGACTATGGATTTGTTATTTCTCTCTACTAAGTGGAAAGAAAATTCACTATTGTGATTTTGTTTACAAATTGGTGTTAAATAATAATTACTTATGTAATATTTGTTGGTTAATCAATCAAGTGACAACCCAAGCTTGGATACTTGATTGTATATTTTAAAAGTTTAGTAGATAATAAATTTTGTACCTGTGACTTATTGTTGAAGTAAAAAGTATATTTTGTATATATATATATAAAAGACAATGTTTAACACGTACTACGATTAAGTGAGCTTTGCCAGACAGATGTGTTCATAGCACAATTTAACGGATAAGGTGTCTGGCACGATTTTGTACAAAATTTGATGCAATAATGTGGCCTTAAGAATTATATTTAAAAAAATTGGTCATTTATCTTTTTGATGTAAAATGCTAGCACAAATAATAAGTGTTAAATTGATATTTTTAGCATTAAAAAGACAAAGATCTCATCTCATTTACCACAAGTGCTTATAAGAAAATTATATTTGTACAATATATAATTTTCAGAAGGAAACTTTGCTTAAACCTTTAAAGTTCCTAATCGGATAACTTAAGATTTATTTAGTGTGTGGTAGACCAAAAATGACTGAGCTAATTGTGTAAATGTGTTGCTCCACCTGAGCTCAGATACTAGTCAAACATTTACACAAACTTCAAAACGTTTAAATTATATTCTGTAACGTCTATTCTAATGGTTTTGTACTCAATGCAAAACCAAAAAAACATTTACTCTGATAAGACTATTTATTTGTTGAATTAGCTGCTAATTTTTACAAAGATATAATTTATTGTAGACTTAAGGTAGTTTTTGTTAATTAAGAAAATATGGAGAACCAATTGATGTTTCAGATTTTTTCTTTTTTTTTGGAATTATACGTTTTTCTATAAAACTGTTATCCTGGGCCGTCATGTAATAGAACTTTGTTATTTCCATATCATTAAAGTGTTTTTTTGTAATTCTTTTACTTGGAACTTTGTAATGAGATTATTTTATACAAGAAAAATTAAAACAAATTATATTCAAGGAAATCGCAATTATTCCATTGATTGAAACATTGTTTCATGTAATAAATGGAAGCTTGCTGAAAATAAAAGGTGTGGAATATCATTACATATATATTATTTATTTCCCTGCTTCCTCGACTACCAAAGTTATGTGCTAGTACAATAAATTAAACAACAATCTATGTTCTCTTAAGACCAATCAATTAAAAATGTACTTCAGTCATATCTGTTCACATTGGTATGACAATTCTCACTGGTTTGCCAGACGCGTTTCAACATTGCTCCATCTTTAAGCCTAGTACACATGAAGTGTTAGAAACGCGCGTTAGTGAAATGTTGCAGTTTAAACTAGAATGTACACATGGCAAAGCAGGTTTAAGCCATATGAACACGCAATTCGAGATTCCCTTCACTACGCGCATTTCACCACCCGAGTCGAGATACACAGTAACCAATTGGTCTGTTTAGATCAACACACGTTTTACCAGAGAATATTATTATTTTTACATCATGATGGAAATGTATCCTATTGACACCGATGCCCTGATCGACGAAATTGAAAAAAGACCTGAATTGTGGAACATAGCGATTATTATATTTATTACAGCTCTTTCATATCTATCACAAATGACAATTTCTCATCAACTGCTTCTTCTTTCTGCATGTTCTTCACATTCCAGGGATTTAGAGGTGGTTTTACCATTGAGCAGTTCTGTGTCACAGCATGATACATTAGTTATTTAAACTTGTCTAATTTCTGGAGTTTTAACTTGCCCTCCAATATATTTTTAAAAAATTCAGTAATTTCATGGTCCGCTTGACCAATTAATATATTACAATTAATTAGGGTTTTTAGTTTACATAAAAAAGTCACTGGCACGAGTGGGATTCGAACCCACGATCTTCGGCTAGATATGCTGCTGCTCTACCACTTGAGCTATCGTGACCTCGATCCACTCAGACACCAACTCCTTATCAAAACCCGGCCATTTCATTTGTCGCCGAGATTCCAATCCGATTACACAACATTTGAAAAATGGCAAAAAGGAGGGAAAATTCAAAAGGTGCGGTTGAGATGGGAAGTTGGTGTCCGAGTGGATTGAGGTTACGATAGCCGAAGATCGTGGGTTCGAATCCTGCTCGTGCCAATGACTTTTTTAGCTCAACTAAAACCTTATTTAATTGTAATATTTTTAAAAGTTGATGCACGATCTGCAATGTCAACATTATCGGTGTTTTATGACGAGTTTTTCTTCTGGCGGGATAGAATCCCTCACTCTGATGTCTTGATGAAATGTCGTCCTTAATCAAGTACAAAAAATCGTCACAAGTTAATTGATATTCTAAAACAATTGAAACATTTTGATTTTGGGTAGAGAGTAACAAATATAATATTTCCCCTATCGGGAAGGGGTCGCAGCCTTCTTAGTTTATAGAAGCGATAGAGAAAAATAATGCCACAGACAAACGACAACTTCCTTCATAAAATTTCTCTTTTCGCCACAAGCACCCATTTACACGCAATTCAACGCCCCTGTATACTAGGCATTAGAGAAGGTTTGGTCGGCTGAATCTTAGAACAGTCAAACTGTAGGTTCATCAGCAATCATTGTGGTCTGCTTATCCTTGCTATATTGATCAAGCGTTTTAACATTTTGCCATTTTCTGTGCTAAGTTCATCATCTTATGAAGCTGAAACACATCTGACAGTTCAACCCAGCAAGGAAAAGCAGACCAAAATGATTGCTATCAAACTATTGCAGCTCTGCATCTTCACGATATAGGTTTATCACCTTCAGACCTCAAGAAATAATACAAAAGTTAGTTAATATTTGGTAGTTTCTAATCATTTTAGTCTGCCAAACCTCATTGGTTTTGTATGTAGACACAAGTTGATATTTTGTAATTGACAGTTTCTTTTCTTTTTTTACGAGGTTTCGCAACAGCAGAGGTCATATAAACCCTCAGGGTGCCGGTGTTTTTGAAAAAAAGCCCATTTGTAAGTATGTCGGGTTCGAATGCAGGGCCGCTGGATTCGAACCCGGGACCTTTTCCTTACAGTGTTGAGCGCCGTGTCAAAGACTAAACCTTGCGGCCACCGACGCCCCTAATTGACAGTGTTGTTTTTAGAAATGGTGAAATACTGAAATATCTGAGACTAATTCAGGGAGAAAAGGTACACCAGGAGCACATATGGCAAAACTATTAGGTTATTTCACTAAAGACTTCAAGAAATCAAACAAAAATTAAAGTATATTGACCTGCTTATCCTCGCTGTTTTGGCATTTTGTCTTTAATGTTTTTTCATTTATCCTGTTCAGCCTAACCTCATTGGCTTTTGATATATCAGATGTGTTTCATCATTTTCCTATCATCGGTGCTGGGTTCATCCGGTTAGGTATTTACGCAGATTGTGACACCAACCCAGCCGAAATGTGTCTGACAGACCAACTTAATGAGGATAGGCAGGCCAAACTGATGGTAACGACCAAACTACAGGATTCACCTCAAGAAATATCACAAAAGTGTAATTTGGTAATTGCTGATCTGCCTATCCTCACTGTTTGGCATTCCATCTTCAGTGCTTGTTTTTAATTCAACTATTTGACCTGACAGACAAAATCTCATATTTAAATCAAGATCATTTATATCATCAAAAATTTATATTTCCGATCCTAAATGTGTTGACCGTTGACCCCGTCAGATGCATTTCATTTCACCATCTTCAAAAACCACCACTGAGATGATGCAAAAATGCTTCTGATAGGAGGATTAGATATTTAATCACCCCATGTAACCTAAGAAATATATATAAAAGGGATAGTTGGATTTGGTCTACCACTTCCTCTTGTTTTGATCTATGGTTTAGCAAATCTCCATTTTTTTAAGATGTCTGACAGACCAAAATTAGCTGGCCAAGATTCGAAAAAGTACAGGTTCATCATTTTTCCAGATCTCAACAGGGGGACAAAAATGACAAGTATGCAAAACCACTGGTTGTAGTTATATTTTTCTGAGAGATTGGAAACAATCCGAATTGGGCCATTTCATTTAAATTTTAATACCAGTGGACAAATCTCCATTTTTTAAAAACCACTGAAGATCAAAACATATCTGACAGACCAAAATTAGCTGGCCAACATTAGAAAAAATACAGGTTCATCATTTTCCCATTCTCAACAGGGGGAAAAAATGACAAGTATGCAAAACCACTGGTTGAAGTTATATTTTTCTGAGATTGGAAACAATCCGAATTGGACCATTTCATTTAAATTTTAATACCAGCGGACAAATCTCCATTTTTTTTTAACCACCACTGAATATCAAAGACATATCTGACAGACCAAAATTAGCTGCCCAAGGTTAGAAAAAGTACAGGTTCATCATTTTCCCAAATCTCAACAGAGGAAAAAAAATGACTAGTATGCAAAACCAGCTGGTACAGTTAAATTTTTCTGAGAGATTGGAAACATTCCGAATTGGACCATTTCATTTAAATTCCAATACTAATGGATGTACCAAGTTATTTTAATTTATTTGTTTTCGTTCATGGCCCAAATTGTTGGACAGAAAATCTAATTATACCAATAAAATCGAAAATAGTCAATACAGTAAAACCCATTTTAACCAAACTCTCGCCTTAACCAAAAAAATTTCATTAAAAAAAGGTGTGTTATTGCAAAATGTAGCCGCTATTGACAATGTGCATGGGCTGTACAGATTCAAGGCGAATATAACCGTGGAATGCAGTTTTAAAGTGTTGAACCGCAAAACAATGAAGTAAGCTGATCATGAAACACTTAATGAAGCTCTTTTTCTCTAGTTTACATTTCGGATAAAATATACTGTACTTCGTATTTGTATGTAAAATACATAGACCCTTCGGTTTTTATTTGGAAATGTTTCTTTTTTTCATTTTTTACTGCAAGCCAAAAGCCTCCATGGATTATCTGAAAAATGTCGTTATTTGAAATGGCTCCATCCCTTTTAGTTTGTTTAAAAAAGGGTTCGAATGTACTTATAAACAGGCAAACTTACTTTTATGCGAATAATGATTTATTGAAGTTATTTTTTTAATTTGCTATTGATACATAGAAAATAAATTTGAATTGATTTTAAGAGAATCGAAAAGATTTGAATGTGCATTTCACTTCACCAGTCAGGAGAGGAGGGAAAAATATAATAAATGTGTTAATATATATAACCTTTTTGATGTTAAACCATGAAGGGTCTAATATAAAATAAATAAAATAAAAATAAAAAACAAGACAAGTTATTTATTAACAACATATAAAATTATGCCAATAAAATTGTAATACAATCTTTAATGCGTATCATCGTAACAAATTTAACCAAAGGTACTTTTCAACCAGATGTCTAATTCCAATGTATATATGAATATAAAAATATATATCGTATCTGTACATACTTAGGATTGGATTTGACCTCTTATATACACAAGATCTGGGATTATCAAAAGAATAAATATTTATTGTTTGACACCTGGAAGTCCTAGCTTCACCATCACCATCTTAGCGATATCTGTTTATTTCTTTTCTTTTCCTTGAACAAAAATAAATAAACGTTTACAATATGATTGATTTTAAATGAGAAAATTACTCACTTTTTCTTTTTTCCCTGTTTTTTTCTTTTGGTCAGCAGTCTACTTGGTCCGCCTGTTCAAATGAGTCTAGCGTGTCATTTGAGCTCGAGTGAGTCAGGTCACTCAGTTCGTCTAAGTGTTTTTGCCTTTTCCTCACATTCCAGTGAAGACATTCAGCCAGGGATTCAAACCAGTCCGAGATCTGATCCTGGGCACATATCGAAGGTACAGGGTACACCGAAGTTGTAACTGTAAGGCTAGAAACAAAAAGACCCATGGTTTTTATAAATGAATACAAATAAATACTTTATGTAAGTATAAAGAGTTATTTTCTTTCATTATTCAAGTACTTAAAACTGACAATGTAAAGAAAAATTGTGCTTTGTTTTTTTTTAATTTTAAATTTTTTATTTTTTTATTGATGAAAATGTTTAAAACCAACTTAAACGGTTAAATTTTATTAGTAAAAAGAACTTGGAACTTATCACTGCCCGAGAAAGTATCAACTTGTTCAGTAAATTAGGATTTAATTGGATGTGTAAGCCTATCAATTTTGTTGATCAAAATCAAATAATTTTAAAAAATATTAGGATGTTGTCCTCTTTGACTGTAAACTAAAACGGATGTTAGAACTCATGGACTTTAGGCATAGAAGACCAAAAATGTATAAAAGGATGGATAGCAGACCTATCTCCAACTTTCAGCTCCTGTTGATTTCTCCCATCGAAACTAACCCAGGCAGTGTTTCGGGCTCCCGAGTTCAACATGACCTGAAAACATCTCCATTCAGCCAAAATAAAACAAAAGGAAGAAGAAAAAAAAACTTGCACAATTTTTCGTGTCATCATTAGTTGTACCATGGTGTATTTTATCCCAGATTACCTTCACTAATTAAAAAAAACTTGAACCCACTAAAGGTTTTGGTTTTATAATTACATTACAACCAACAAAAGAAAAGATAAAACACCAAACAAAAATTAACCATTTTTTTTAAATATGAAACAAAACAAACGCTCATTCATAAAAAAAAGTTGTGATTAGGTACCCTGGACAAAACAGATAAACCATAAAATAAAAACAATCAACAGTACTTGGAAAATATTATGTCAATCCGAAAACATACCTATCCCCATGGAATAACTCCTGCCGGTTTCTCCCATCGAATGAAACCCAAGATGTATTGCGACTATCTGGAGACACAGAGATCTGAAACAACCCAGGGTACCGATCTTCTGCACTTTACAATAATCAAAAATCATTCATGATACATAATAAACATTTTATGGCTAATTTATTGTTTGAATGTCATCTGACAGTTCCTCTAAAAAAATTAAATTTCTCTTTTGAAGCCGTTCAATAATTATGATCAAAAGTGTAAAAAAAAGTACATCTATTTAAATAATTGATTTTTTCTGATTATTTTGGCCCGTTTATCCTTGCTGTAGTGGTGTCTAACAGTCCACTTTTGCTTCTCAACATCTTCTGTGGTTGGCCAACACTAATTTTACTAAGATTTCTTCTTTTTAAGGTTTGCTGGATGATGAACATGTAGTTTTGTTTTTGAATCTGATCTACCGATAGTTGCAGTTTTGGCCTATCGGTCACATTTTCCAATTTTGTCATTTTCAGAAATGGTTTTTGAAAATAATAAGAGGCTGAAACGTATAAAGAACTAAACAGGTGTAGGAAGAGCCAAACTATTATGTCATTACCCTGCAGACCCCAAGAAGAAATGTCTCAATTTATTTAATAATCATAAAACGAAAATCTGAATTCAGAAGAAAATAGCAACCTTCATATTTTTATACGTACTTCCAAACTTCTACATGAAACTAATACTTATTGAAACACAATCATAGAAAGCTAATAACAAAAACCTTTGATTAGGATCATTTGATTTGACATTGTTTTCTGACTATCTCACTATTATTTTTTTTTTAATTTGCCAATTTTATTTTGGTTAATTAACTACCATTATTAAATAAACCTAATGGGCTATTTATACAATTAAAAAAGTTAAGGTAAAAAAAGGTATATGGAAATTTTTACCTTCAATTCAACACCTGCTGGTACAACTATGGGCCTAAAAGAAAGAGAATGTGGGCATATGGGCGTCACCATTATAGCTGGAACGCTCGGATGGATCATAGAAGCCCCTGCGGCTACAGCATAAGCTGTGCTTCCTGTTGGAGTGGAAACAATCAGTCCTAAAAAAAAAACTTTATGAAATAATGTATAAAATTAAAATAAGCAGGACAAACTTACCGTCTCCTTGTACTGAAGTGATGAGTTTTCCATCTAAATATAGATCTATGTTTGATAGGTAAGGTGACGGTCCTCGATCCACAACAACTTCATTGAGGACCAATAAATTAGTCGGTGGTTTTTTAATGTCATCCTCATTCTTTCTGACTATTATGCATCTGAGCCTACTCCTGAGAGTGAGAGCGGCATGTCCTTAAAATAAAAGAAACCAAATCAATAAGTGAAATTAAATACCCTGAAACTAAAATATTTCACCTTCCAATACATTTGTGACTTGCTCTTGAAAGTTGTCAAATCGGAACGGTGTGAGAAAGCCAAGAGAACCAAGATGAAAGGCCATGACAGGTGGTACTGATTGCTATAAAAATAAATTCAAAATTTTTACCAAAGCATTGCCTCTGTCAAAACTTCTGTTAGCTACAAATATTATTCTTTTGTAAATAAAATTGCACTCGACTAACAAATGAAATTTGCTTACTTGGAAAAGTAAACTCGCATAAAGCAATGTTCCATCACCTCCTAAACAAATGATGAAGTCAATTTTATCAGTTAAGTCATCTTTTCCATCCCGGAAAGTCATTAACTTATCCTTCACCCTTCCGAATTCTCCATTATTAAGTAACAATGTGTCTTCCATTACTGATTGCTCCACAAAGACCACCATACATTTCTCCTGAGGAAGTAATTAGTGAAGATTACATATCGAGATTTTATATTATGTTGCAAACGCAACTTATTACCTGTATGAGCCAATGAACTAATTGAACAAATGGCTGCAATACTGATACATCCCGCACTTTCTTTATGACCAGTACGGTCAGCGGAGGCTTGTACCAGGTTAGCCTCTGACTTGCAGGATCCTGTATTGTGCTAAAAGAACAACAAACGAATAATTTTCAACAACAAAAAACTGATTACTTGTTTTATACATATATCGTAATGTGAAATCAGGATGGTGTTCAATTGGAATTAATGCATATTGTGGTCTCATGTTGGAACACTCTCAATAACTGAAGCTTAGCTTCAATAAACTGAACTCTGCTTTACTGTTTTACATACAATACAACTATGACTAAGCTGGACAATGCATAAGGAGAATATTCGATTTAAAATTAACTTTTGCAAAATAAAAATAATAAAACCTTTAAATACTTACATGACCATTGCGGAATTTTTTAGAATGCGGCCGCAAGGGCCAAATTGTGGAACCGGGCTTGGAGCATTCAGAGATCTTGTTCTCCTAAAATAAATATATAGATTATGACTTATTAACGAGGAAATAATATATAATTATGAAAAAAATATACATATATGCATAATTTTCATAAAAAATTCTGACTTGAAGTAGCGTTTCGTTTCAATATGCAACAAATACACCCACACACATTTAAAAAAAAATTCAAATAGTTTTAATTCACAATTGAAACAAACATTAAACTAGAAAGGCTGATAAAATGATTGAAAGTATTGTGTACACATAAATAAATATCTATAGTTTGATCACCTCTGCACTAAAATTAATCATGAAAACAAACATACACACTAATATAATAATATCTACATATAATGTGCATATATATTTAATCCTCTATAGAATTAATCCATGTACAAACAAATGTGTGTGCATCATGCATTTGTGCAGCACATTGAAACTCAACTTATAATAATTTATAATATACAGGCAAATATTAAAATTAATAAAGGTATTACTACAAAGATAAAATATTAAAAAAATAAGCCCATGGCTCACAATAAATAATTATACACATATATATGGCAAATAATAAGAAGGTATGCAGTGAAATAGCAAAACTACACAGATATACACAAAAAAACTTATGTATGTTATAGAAATATAAGAGGAATGGACAAAACTAGCAAACAATGTCAAACTAAAACAACAACTGGGTTAGGGATAAAAATGGAAAATGTTATAATTCATTTAATGCATGTAAGTACGTATATATTATACACTTTTTGTAAAATGTTGACTTTAAGTACAGAAATCCATAAATGAATTTAGTACATAATTGTCCTATTAATTATTTATTCTACAGTGTCACGAGTGGTATTCAAATCCATGATATTCGGCTCAATAAGTTCGCTGTTCTAACCTCTTGAGCTATCATGACTTCAAGTGTCTCGTGACAATTGCTTTTTCATCTCAACGAAGAGGTTAGATTAAAAGTATAATTAATTAAATACAGGGTTGAACTTATCACTTCTTACCGCCTGCTTTTGTGTAATTTACAATAAATTAATGGCAGACCTCTACAATAACCCAACCCGGGTTTTGGCAATCTGGGGTCAGACGCAGTCTGATGGGTCCGGGGGCTAGATCATTTCAGCCCCAATGTAATCAGTCTCAATCCAAACCCACTCACACCCTCACTCATTCTTAAATACAATCTATTCTATTTACATGCTATTCACTCACTTGGAGTACTTGGTATTTCTTTATCACCCTCTACACATATTTTATAATGAGCCTAATTTAGGGTCGATGAGTAATCAATATAATCAAAGTTTTTCACTGAAGATGGCGTAATGCCGAAACGCGTTTGAATAACTCAAACAAAAAACCCGCGAGTGAAGACAGACCCAGTAGTGCCCGTGTGCCAGTTCAACATGAAACAATGTTCCACCACTGGCCCTTCACTACATGCACAAAAAGATTAGATATCTGTAAAGTATTAAATACAGTAAAACAGCTCTTCTTCCAAAAATCGTAACAGGGGACCCAGATACTCGCAGCCGTGCTTAAGTACACATCTCATATCTGGTGGCATTCTAACACGCTCTCTATATGGAGCCAGGTAATGCCACCATCAATTAAAGTGTTGACTGACATATAGTCAAATTTTTGTTTAGCTTTTGCTATTTGGTTTACAGTAGGCTCTTGTTATCCTCACTTTCACTCATCTGTGGTTGCTCCCCTATATATATTTTTTAAAATCTTAAATTTAATTAATATTTTATTTATTATAAATTTTATCTTTTTTTAGGCCTCTAATAATTTTTACACATTTGTTTTGTCAATGTCATGCATAGGTTGATGTATTTATGTATGTATTGCTTTCCTGTGAATAAACTTTGTGTACGTTATTGTACATTGTGTTTTTCTTACTGGAAAAATCCTGAAATATGTGTACAAGTTCATTTATAACATTGACGATAGGCACACACAATACAGAAAGTGACTGATTGGTATGCAGATAGAAGAAAATTCTTCAAATGGTGGAATTCGACGTGTTTCTTATTATCTGAGAAGATGCTTGATGATCTCCTGTAGATAACGGGAGTCCTATACCAATTAAGCCTACTGTAATATTTTCTTTAGGATTAATTTAAAAAATAACTTATTTGTTCCACCAGGTTTAGTGATATTTTTTGATAAGTACTCCTTTCTTTTTCTTGAACTCTTACACCACTTTTTACTTTCTTGTGAAAGCTTTTGGACCAACACTCGACCCTCCTTAATCTTTTGTCCTCTATATTAAAATATTATTTTTATTCAGAGAAAATTAACAATTTACATTTATTGGGAATAAAAATAATAAAAACTTGCAGTGAGTGCAAAAACTAAAAAAAAAAACTTTTTTGTGAATATGAGTTTAAATTATTATTTTAATGATTTACTATTGTTTTTGTATTTACATAATATGCATTTAATTAGAGGAAAAAAGGCCGAGGAGGGGCCTGGTATTGGTTCATTCCATAAAAAAATAAAAATTAATGGAAGAATTCAAGGAAAAGAAAATATTATTTGAACATATAAAGTTAATGAAAATTTTGCGCCCAGACAATGTGGAAGAAATGACAGTGCGACAAAGGTTTCCCCACAACTAGATCTTCAATCAATCTGCATCAATAAAGGATGCATTTCCAAAAAGAAGTGCAGTGCAAATAAAGGCAAAAACTTCAAACTGTTATGACTTATGGTAAATAAAGTTCCAATAAAAAAAAATTATTAGTCATCTAAATTTACCGTAATTATTTAGATTATTTTAATATTTCAAATAAATGATTACAGCATTGTGTTAAACCCAATACCAGATAAACAAAAATTCATTTTTTGACTTTATAACAATGGTGAAGTTTTTTCTTTACAAATTTAATGTGTTATTTTTGTAATATTTAACGTTTTTTTCCATTTTTTCCTTACAATTTTCCATAAAATCGAATGAACTTGATGAATCTGCAATTAAAAATGTAGGTGAGAAAAATTTTTTGAAAAAAAAAGAATTATTGCAATGTTTGAAAGTATAGCTTATGCTAAAAAAATAAATATAAAAAAATTAGGTTTAGTTTCTGAGAAAATATAGGGGGGCAACTATAAAATATTCGTTGACTGTTATTGTATACTATATTAAGTTGATTTTATTATGCCAATTGAACTATTCATTATTCACACAAAATTATATACAATATATTGAATTTATTAAACATAATCTGAATTAAATTAATTTTTTATAGAAGGATCCACGAAATTCTTAAAAATAAAAAAAACCTACATGAACAATTTCTGCCAAATTTTCATGCATGTCGAGTGGACCGTTTTAGTTTTTCTATTTCCTTTTTTTAATAATAATTTCCCATCCACCAAAACAAATGATATAGTGGCCTGATTCGAATTCAAGTCAAATACGGTTGTAGAGGTGGCACGCCCCTAGTACAACAATTTTTGCCGCGTCACCAAAACAAAACAAAAAACGGAGGATTTTCGTTTGTCCTATGAGTTTGGGTCTATTTCCTCGCAGTTCGTATTAAACGATTCCGATCCAATTTCTCTAAATGACTCGGCGGTACATGAACTTTGGGTCGATGTCCGCATTCAATTCAACGCCTTTCCTCATTTATTGTCGCTACTTTTCATCCACGTTGTTAATTGTTGGAACGAGCATGGACTCTTCTGCATCAGCTACAGTGACTGTTTTAATTGTAGGCATTTTTTATGGTGATAAAGTATCGAAACGGCTAATAAAACTCAAAAGTTTCTATAAATGGGGCATTTACAATCTTGAACCGAGACAAACAATTCTATTCTTAGCATACTGCTGATGATCAACATTTTCATTTAACCGTTGTCCCTTAAATCAACGCAAAACAGCAAAAACTGTATACTGTTCCTTTTTCAAAAAAAAAAAAAAAAAAAAAAAAAAACAAACCTAAAACTATTAAACTGACTAGTATTTGCAGTAAATGTGAACATAGTTGGCTTAGATAATTAGCACTTAAACAATTCTCTCGAAGTTTACCGGCCAATAAACGTCAGACCAAGAGAAAATCCTATATTATTTTCTTGTCGAGACTTATTTCGCGGGGTCTTCGTGAATATTGTGGATAGAATTTTAATATCCGATGTCGAGAAAAAAAAGTTCCAAGGTCCTACATACACGATCGTGACCGCCGGATTTATTTATTGGTTTAATTGAGCATGGCATATCCGCCAGGTGTCCGCCGATCGGAACATCAAACACAAATAGTAAAATATATATTATAAAAATTGCATTTTAACAAAGAAAGATATGCCTGTATAAAAAATTAACCCTGAAACAACTGTCCTAGAAACATCACTTGTTAAATGTATTTTTGGCTTTCATCAGGTCCGCACTGTCCCGCAGGTTTTCCCTGTTTTGACCGCTAACAAAAGATATTCTTTGGTAAACGACGACTGACAGCGAATGAGAAGGGCATTCCTTTATTGAAAGAATACAAACGGCGTAAGATTTACTACCGTGAAAATGATAATTAATTTATGGTGATTAATTAACGCTTATCTTTATTAAATGCTGCAAAACAAATGGCAAACAAATTTCTCCCACTTTCTTCTCTCTATGCTTACCCCATTTTATATAGAATTGTTGGCAATAATCGGTAGTACTAACATCTGCCTATATTTATCTATTTAAATTACTTTTAACTGACAAAAAACTTTCTTTTTTTTAATTTGATTAACACACATTTTTGAGATTTTAGTGCACTTTTCAGTAAAACTCCTTCCTCAGTTCCTTTTGATTTTATATTGTACAGTTGAAACAGACTGCCAAAATTGAACTTTCCATTACGTCTCGATTGCTGCTTTAATAAAAAATCAATTTGATTTTTACGTTTCAAACGTTATTAAATTAATTCTGATGAATTTTTTGACAATTTTTCACCGGCATCGGTATTCTGTCTGTCTCGTTGTCTCGTAGCACTGTTTGTCTTCGATCTTTATCTTTAATCTTTTAAAAAAAG